AGATTTAAATTGTTACCGGTAGTAAATTTGTTAATGTTTTTACTGCAATTGGAATTAGATGTTTTCTCATATTTTGTGTTTATGGTAAATGGCAAAAGCATAGTGGCTTGAAAATATATTTTACAGTATTTATATTATATTATCTTTGTATTTTCTTTGGTGAGTGTAGGCCTAATGGCTAACAGGAATGTTTCATCAACCTAAACAGTGGTAGGTTAAACTTATCTGAGACAAATCAAATTTAATTGTAATATCACATTGGCTAAAAAATGATTTGAAATACTTATAACTTTTTATGAACTGAAGTAAATTTGTACTATGGACTAATATATTATTGACAAATTGTCTCCAAAAATCCTATTTTAAAGCTTGGATGTATTTTTAAAGCTCTACTTTTCCTCACTCATTAAAAAGCAATGGCCTAAAGTTGTAAGATTGTACATTTGTGAAGTGAAATCCCTTTTAAATAGTCTGGTCGCATGATTTTACCTTATGCTATAGGCCTATCTTAAATATATTTTAAAAATGTTTTTCTTTTCCGAGTTCTTTTGGCTTTTCCACCTGACCGATTTTCATGATTGAGGTCTCAAATTGAAGTGCATGCTCAGATTTCACATTAAGCATCGGTACCTATATATTTATCTACTGTGTTACTCGACCAAAAAACATAAATTTGATTTATATTTGAATTCTTACTTCAATATAAGATGTATTTCACCAGTTATAATTAAATAAACCTATATATTTTGACCTAATACTTCAGTGAAATATCAGCTTTCATTTAAGCTATTAGTTGTTCAAATCGGACGGGTTTCAAGCAAACGGATTGTGAACGAACATTATTTTAAAATTAGCTCTATCATTAATAATTGTTAGGCTAATGTTTTTTTCATATGTTTTAGACTCAAAATAATCAGTTAGTTATAGGCTTTAATTTGAGCTATTGGTAGTATAAATGAGTTAAGTTCAAGATACTGTAAAACTACAACAACAACTGCAAACAGGATACTGTTTTTTGTAAAAGGTGACAGTGTAAAAAAAAATAATAATAATAGCCTTGTATCAGAAAGAAAGCAAAGTCTCGAAGTAATGAAATCTAAAGTTTTGAATAAATAGGCATTTGAATGATTACAATATAGTTTTTTTATTAGTCAGCCACCAATTTAACTCTTTTTTAGTAAAAAAAAAACATATTTCTAACATTGGTTGTTAAAATTTTGACTAAACAAGAAATATTGTGACCAAACTAACATTTGTCCTCATTAAATAGGTATTCTAACAATGCTTTAAAAAAATGAATTTAATTTGTTACAAAACTAACAATTTTAATACTTTTTAAAAGTGTCCATTTAATCTCCGTAGAGTCGCACCCTAACCTCGGTCATTACAAGGTGTTATGACTAACACATTGACGTAGTCACAGATGCTCCACATTCCCTGCATAGACGGAAGACGCTTCTGTAGTTGTCCAACACATTTTCAATCCCATTGTTTGCAAAGCCTCCCGTTATTTTTAAACGTTGCTCAACAAAACTTGCTCCTCAGACTCGACAATTGATGTGTGATTCACTGATAGCCCCCTGCTGCTGCTGGGAACTGTTGCATCACTGTTTCTGGAACTAGTTTCACTTTGTGTCACTATCTGGATTGATAAGAGCGCTGTGTAGTAAATACATTGATACGGGGCTTTGATGTTTTAAAAGTACTGTTTGTGTTAGGAAATGTATCGTTAAGGGGCGAGTCAAAGCTTTTACTCTGTGTTTCCTTCATTATATTTATCGATAAAGAACTTCAATGTTTCATAAAAAGTAAAATACATAACTGATGTCAATCTAAATTCACTTACCTAGTAATTTATTTTAGAAAACTGGAACCACACATTTTTAGAAAGTTACCTTAATACCAGTAATTCAAACATTCTGGAAGACAAACGTATTAAAAGGAAATGGTTGAATTGATTCATCACTATGGCATAAAAAAGTATTTTTTTTATTCAAGCTTTTGTTTAATGTCTGGAAATGTAGAAAGGGTCGAGAGGGTACTTCAGCTTGTGCAATAAACTTGATTTTTGTCACAATTTACCATTCTTCAATCTAACTAGATTTAAATAAAGTTTAGTAAATTGATTATCTTATAAATTTGTTCCTAAAATGGTTTCCATTTAGTGTTACTTATTGATTCAGAACAAACAGGAGGCAAACTTACCTTTCTCTAAACATTAGATGCAGGAGAAAATGTATCTTAACTGATAATTCTTTTTTTTCAAAACTAATATGCAAATTGGGTATTAGAGGTTTAAGAAAACTTTAATATTTTGTTTGCACTTTTTTAATTTAGGGATTCTTAATAATTTCTGACCCTTTAGTAACGCTCTACTGAAGTTGCTACACTCACATAAGTAAGTTGCACACATACAATGTATGAAGGCTACACCCAGACAGAGAGTAATGACCTTATTTGCTGTTGCTCACCAGACCTGTTTTCTGCCCATTAACTAACTCGTATTCAAACAGTCTTTCAGCTTTTTTTGTTTCGGATCTCAAGAGATCAAGAGTGTTTTGCTCCTCACATTAGCCAGGATTAAAATTCTGAGGGAGTAAATATTTTTGTTTGTATCCCAGCTAGGTTAATTAATATTGTATTTTTTAATATAATGTAATGTTTGAAAAATTTATGTTGGTTTTATTATGTATACTAATACATTATTTTTGACTATTTTTTAAAACAACTAATTATTACTAGTACGTAATTCATCTTTATATGTACTTTAAAGTAGATAAACAATTCAACTTCTATCTCATAGGACATTTCTTTTAATTGTAGAACAAATATTTAACAAATTTTAGTTTTCAATAAAGGGTCTTAATCCATTGTCATGCGATTTGCAATGAAATAATTAGTGTAGGGTTTTGAAATGTTTTCTAGCTACCTCAGCTTCCATAACATTAGATTTTAAATGACAATCACAACAATAAAAGTAGTATCAGAGCATTTTAATTTAAATCCTCAGGTTATTAGTAGTTTCTAGTTTACGATAACTCTGTTGTATAAAACTGATAAGATAATTTTGCTTTAGGTCTTTTTTTCTTTTCAAATCTTAAACTTGACATAATAATATATTGATGATAATTTTATCAAAATGTCCATAGTCCCTAACAACCTAAAAGATTCCACTTGTACTCCTACATGAAACTCATGTTCTTTACGTGTCAATTTACTCATGAGACAACCAGAGGTGATCTGTTTGCTAAAATTCCTCGTACGGAGAGAAAGTTGGGAAGACTTGAGGCCGTTTACTTGGCTAGAGGCCAGATGTACACATGCTGACTGAGGCTGACTCTACACTTGTACGGGGAAACCTCAACCCCCACAATGCACCTGGGCATGAGTGTAGCCTTCGTTGGTTTACCAGGAAACGCTGAGAGTTGCGACGCATGTGTTTTGATTGTAAATAAGGAGTTTAGGAGACTATTTGTAACATCTGTATTTTTAAAAGCCTAAATGGAACAAATTTTAAATGTTTCGTTGGACATATGTTTGCGTTTGCAATATGTTTGATTAAATCTGTGTATTATTTTAGTTTTGTTTAAAGCACAATAACTCGTATTAGGGTTTTGGATCGATGTGGAACGTGGGTGTTACCAATAAAATGCCCATTTGTATATAAACTCTTAGAAACATCATTTGTTACAAAAAAAATTAATTACATATCAAGTAAAATAAAAGTGTGTAGGAAACATATTGTTTCTACAGTTTTCAATTTACCTCAGTATGATTTGTAAATAGTTGTTGGTTTAATTAAACAATACTATCAGATTGTTTAAATTTCACATGCATTACCAAATTGTTTTATTATATAAAGTAGAATAGGCCTGTTTTTTAAAATGTTTTTTTTTATCGGTTTGGAACCATACAGCAAAACAAACAGGAACAAATTGTTCCAAAGACCAATAATCAGAATTTAAATCATAAAATATAATTTGATTTTTAAGTAAAAATCATTAGCCTACATAAACTTTTAATTCAAAAAACTGTGAATCATCATATCCAGCTGCTACCACCACTGGGACCTCAGCAGTCTCCATTGTATAGATTGGTGCCTCCAGCTAAATTACATTAATTAAACATCTGCCTGCCGACCGTTTCTTTGATGTGAAGAATTCCAGTGCCGCTCCCACCGTTACATAGGGTCTGTCCCATTGTTGGAGAATCATGTTAGATTCGGTTGTGTAAGTTTTCTGGGACCTCTTACCACCAGAGTCCAGCCATAAGTAATCATTGGGTGTTTCCTCATTTGGAATTTGTTAACTTAATGCATCTATAATAATAATAATAATAATATTGTTATTATTATTTATATCTGGGAAGTTGAGTGGTGATAGTGACCGTCTTCAAAATTGAAGGTTCCTGGTTCGATCTCAAGCGAAGTTGATTATACGCATCATTGAACCGTCAATTCAATGACACTATCTAACAACAGTTCAACCTTAGATAGTAACAAAACAAGATTTGCACTGTTGGCTTAGGCTAATAACAAAAACAAAAACTGAATACATTTACTCTTTGTTTGAAACAAGCTTATGCAACCAAGTATTATTAGGATGGTAAAACAAATTAGTAAGAGTCTTTGGTAATTAGTGGGATTTTAACCTGGGGCCTCTAAATCAGAAGTCCTTTGACCTCTATACCAGCCTCTCCGCTCATTTGTTTTTTTGATAAGCCTAAATCGTAGCCTGCTCAGTTTTAAAAAGTTGATATTTTTATTTCTCTAACTTTTTTGTCTAGATGAAAAAGTTCCCTTTTTGAAATCTCTATTATCGAAATTAAGCTGAGTACTTTTATTTGGCTACACTGTCTTCCACATAGCCTATATCCCATTGAGATGGCGGTTGCTGATAGAGCAGATTTGATGCTGACCAGGCCCCGCAGATACTATCAGTAATTATTTGATAAGACCAGGTCCACATGATCGTAAAGCCTAATGTTGCCTCTTGTTTCAGGGCCGCCACACCAAGACCGGCCAGCTGGCGGCGATCAAAGTTATGGACGTTACGGAGGTAAGTTTTAAACATTTCATTTAAAAAAATATTTCTATTTATGTAAAAGTTTAAACATATAACATATAAAAAATATCTAAGAATTCCAAATTGGTTTACTTTTAACATTTGAATCCACTAACTTTTGAACAATCCAATTACATTTTATTACGATATTATTGCAATTTGTTGGCAGGTATTTAGTGATAAACCCTCTTTGCAAAATCTAAAATTCTAAAACATTTCACCTTAAGATTTTTTTAAAAGTAAAAGTAAAAGTGTTTTACCTTTTGAATGTTTTTTTTTTTTTTTGTAAGCTGTTTAAAGTGGCATTTCTTTCATTTGAAGCACATGTTACTATACTGAATTTGCATTTATAGTTCGGCCGCTTACAAAACGACCTCCTCCAGCATTGGTTTAGCATTAGCGCGCAGGTCGTTTTCTAAGCAGCCGAACTATAATCACCTTTAATATGTATAACACCTTTGAGCTTATTTTAAAGTGATGAAACTTTCTTACAAGTATGTAGATTTTAAGTTCAGTACTTATTTCAAGTTTATTATGTGACACTTTTTGTTTCGAATGTGACTCTTAAATTTGAAATATTGGTTTACTTTACTAAATATTTTAACGTTATATTTTCTTTTATTAGGACGAAGAAGAAGAAATCAAGTTGGAAATCAACGTTTTGAAAAAGGTAAGATCACAAATTGTAGTTAAATTTATAAAGAAAAAAGGTTTATCTTTTTACAATATTCTCTTTGCTTAATTTATTATTATTACTAATTAGTTGTCGATGTAATTTATTAATTTATTACAGGAACTGGACTTTGACTACACTAATGGTGTCTATTAGATAAGAATACGATTTTTCAAATTTCATAGTTATTAAAAAGGTAAAATAATATTAATCTCCTGCTTTAAATTGCCAAATTTAATAACAGAATTCTTGACGATGCTTAAAATCACAATTTTTAAGACTCCAATAATAATTCACTAATAATATTTCATTCACATTGTCAAAACAAAGACAAAATTGTAACAGTTTAACAAGGAGTTGATGTAAGGAAACGGTGATTAGGTGGGATCAAACAATCTATTTATGTAAACCTGAACTGATATTGTGTACGACTGAGCGAGCAAGCCGACCAACCGTAAACAACAACACACTGCCTCTATTAAATCCAAAGTTTTAACAATGCTAAACTCATTTTTTACCCCGAAATATTATTGAACACTTTCAGTCCGGATTTTAATTTTACCAGTAGTAATACTTTAAAGGATTACGCATTCAATTATTTTCTTCAATTATTAAAATTTTACGTTATATTATCATTAAACTGAATCTAATGTATCCAACCTGTCTACTTATAAAACACATTGTTTTGTGAATAATGTTGATCATACACCAAACTACTCTAACTGATTTAAGACAACTTTTGCCAATCATCATAGTTGTATTCCTCCTCGCCGTGTAAACACTATGTAATATCGTATAAGACATGCTTGTAATTAATTTTATTTTCTTATCATCACAGATTTTTGATTGCAAATTCCATTTGTTTCATAAATAGAAACACTAAGCAGTTCATTCATTTTTTTGGCTGATAGCCAATTTTCATCTACATTTCTTCAAACATTTAGAGAAGAAAAGTATGCTGTTAGACGATTTCCTTGTCAAACTATTCTTAATAATTGAAATTAGTCTGAAATTGAACGTCTTAAATCCAATATTTTTAGTTTTTACTCTTTCAATATTGTTAGTCTTCACATTGATGTTAAGTTAATTGGCCGCTACAAATATGATGGACTAGCTGTACCCGCGGGCTTTGCCCCGCTTAACTTCATAAGTATTCGCATGGCTCAATCACGTCCTGGTTGAAGTTCGTTCGCTACGCTCACTCACCTTCAGGTTGGAAATCGTTCGCTGCGCTCACTTGTTTTCAGGTTAGCTCGTTCGCTACGCTTACTCGCCTCCAGGTTGATGTTCGTTCGCTACGCTCACTCACCTTTTGGTTGCAGATTAGCTGTTGTCATACATTTAAAAAAGTCATCCCTTTTATTCTTTATAATACAGTACTTTTATAAAGGTTTTTATGTTTTAATATTTAACATTGGAGAATTTAAACGTTGTTAAGTGCACAGGTGTGCTGCGATTGTGGTTTAATACATTTGGACTTATTCAAAAGTAAAATAGTTTTCTGTGCTGCAATCTGTAGAAACACTGTGGCACTATTTCAAATCATGACTAATGCTAATACAGAATGTTGTAGTTATTCAACCCCTTTTGAGCCCTTTTGACGGATCTGCACCAAACTTCACTCGAACCATCCTTGAAAGATGCTTAATAATGCTTGAAAGTTTCATTACAATCTGTCGAGCGGTTTCGGAGTCCATAACGTATATACACATATATATACATACATAGTTCCTCTTTTATAGATATAGATTGTTTATCAAATCAAATATAAATTTTTTCCTAATTTTAATATCTATTGTTTGTTCCAAGTGAAATTATGATTGTTGTTCCAATTGAAATATAAATTGTCAATAATTGAATATTGAGTAGTCCCAAGTTGTAGAATTGTTGTTTATTCATACAGAAATATAATTATTTCATCTTGAATATAATTCATAAAAAGTTGAATTCTGAATACCACGAATAATATAGCATGTGATGTTTCTGCTACTATGGAATTTAATCCGTCAAAAATTAAAACACTTGTCATTATCAAGTATAATTTTTCAAAATTGAATGTTGACTGTCATAAAGTGTATATCGGTGGGTTGGATGGCAGGAAGACACAACAGGAAGATTGAATGGTGAGTGGTTACAGTGAGTGAGTTGGACCAGCCCAGTATTGTTGTCAGGCCACCAGTCTGGTGTAGCCAAGGTCACCCCTGGGTTAGTCATCTGTTATCAGTGGCTGCTGATAGGCCCTGTTTATATAAATACTGCCATCTATATGAACATGTAAAATAATACTCTACAGACTTTTGTTTAAATTTTTGTTAGAGGTATTTTTACTGCGTCATGTCGATATTTGTGATGGTAGTACTACTATAGAGAAATGATTAATTTTGCTGTGTGGTTCTTGAATGTTTATTGCTATGTTTACTATGAAACAACTAAAGAATGATTCTGTTTGTATATTTGTTGAATATTAGAGAAATTTTTACAACGCCGATATATACGACGACCTTACTGATTTTAGAGAATTGTCGGATTTTGCAGGATAGTTCACAAATTGTATTCACACTTGGGTTTAACATTCGTTTATCCTTACTATTGGAACTATTCTATTTGAATAGCTTTTTGTTGAATACCGTGAGAGTTGATGGACTTTGTTGAATGATGCTTAAGTGATTAATATAACCGGGCTAAGTATATGTGAGATGAAAGAGGACAATTAAAAAAAAATTAAATTATATTTCGAATTAATCTGGTTCCCTAAACTATTGACTGAAATTGTTAAACAAGAAGTTTTTAACACTCTAAAAATTAATGCAACGGCTTGTGTATTCCCTTCATTGTTTTCAAGTGTTTTAAAATTATCGTAATAAATTCTATTGCAATATTCATGTACATTGTTTATGTATAATGAATGATGTAAGTTTGATTTTATTTGAAATAATTCTGTTTTATAAAAATAATAAATGCAATTCTTATCTTTGAGAGTAAATGAGTAACGAGTGTTTATACATTTTGGTTTTCAACAAATATAATTAGTAATTGTTCTTCCTAAGCCTTTGGATAGTTTCATTTCATACAAAATAAAATATTTTTAACATTAGTTAAAAGCTTAATTATGAATTTTTATAGAACAATGTATTCAGAGGTCTTAATCATTGAAATTATTTTTTTCTCATTTGTGTCTGTATCATGCAACTCCTGGGTTTTTTTTATATAAAAAAAAATATTTCACCTTGAATTCAGTAGAATATTACCTATTTTATGATACTGGGCACTCTATTTCAGTGCACCAACAACAGTCAAAGATAGTCTAAACAATTCCAGATGAGTTTTTAAACAGACATTCTGTCCAATATAGAAGTATGTGGATAAACAAAACAGTGAGGCAAACGAGTGATTGTAACTCTTCACTAGAGCTTGGTTCAACAAATATCACTTTTTTTAGATTTAAAAAAATACACATTTATTAGTGATTGGATAAATATTGGCTGCATTACTAAAATTACCTGAGTTGTCTGTCTTTTAGCGAATTTCCCTATAGGGAAGTAGCTATTTTAGGTGAAGTTGGTGGGGGGGGGGATTTTATATTCAAAAACATTCATAGACTTAAAAATTATCATCTTTTTAATGAAAATAAAATGTTTTAATAAACTATAAGAAGGGAAAAACGGAGTTGAACCGTTTAAGGAAATAGTTAGCAGCTCTTCCTTTACCACCTTCCTTTACCTTTTTTTTATACAGCGGTTCCCCGCGCTTTTATGTCCTCGAAATCCTAAAAGTCCTTGAATTTAGCTCTCTGTCCTGAACTTCCCCTTGATAAAAATAGTTTACTGTGCTTTTCCTATAAGTTCTAATTCTTTGGTGTTTTGGAAATATTCTGATAGGATGTAATAAGTAATAAATGGCTTGGTTTTTATGAAATTACAGAAATATTAAAAAAAAGATTCTTCATTCCAGTTATGTAAACATTAAAGTTAATTTATAATTAGATTTTTTTCTCAACTGGCCGCACTTAGTTTAGAATTTCTATTTAAGACCAAATAAAATTAGATTCTGTAGTCAGACACCAACAAACTTGAGTTAAAAGCATACAATTTTTTTTAGTACTTCTGTTTTGTTTCTTGGATTTTTTTCTTAGAAAGTTTCTGGGAACCTTGTAAAGAAATGTTTAGGGAATTGTATAATTGTATTTTCATTTTTGATGTTAGCCTCCGCATTACGTTTAATATATAAATTGGTTTAAATACCTGTTTCTATGTAATCCAATAGTTGCAAGGTCACGCAACTAGTTTTAATTTCATGAAGAAGTCATCTTCAGGCGTCCAGTGGATTTAAAAATCATTTCATCAGAAAGTCGTCGATACACATACATTTACACACAAAAACGCACACAAACATGAACATAGTTATGTAAAAAAGGTACATTTACAACGGTTGGGAGACAAATAAAAATGGTAACTTAGGGATGATGTGTCATCATGATCCGGTTGTGACGCATCATATTAGTTATTTTTAGCTCTTCCACACAATAGACGTTTAAACCAGAAAGACAGTTTTGTAAACAATTGAATCATTTTGGCATCTGCTTCTAATTTTACGCTTGTAACTTTCGTCAGATATTCTTGATTAATTAAAAGACATGGACTCATGTGTTATTTTATCATTTCCTTGGGTTGAATTTACTAAGGTCTTAAACTAGATTATTTAGTTTTAGATAATAAGTTCTTTCTGACATACACAAATAAAAAGAAATGAAGGTTTCTCTTACATTTGATTTGGCTGCCAATCTTTATTTTTTGATTGTGTCTGATTGTCTGAAGTGTCTTAACAAATGTTCACACTGTACGTCTACTGATCAATAATACATTAATTTTACCTCTTAAAATCAATTTTAATAAACACTCAGTGGCGGCTATCCATGCGCAGCTCAGAAAGAAATTTTCCTAAAAACCATTGAATTACATCTTTGCTACATACATGCTTGGGTTACATCTTTACTATATATACGTTACGTTACGTACTTTAGTTGTTCAACATATGAAATTTCCAACACTTTTTTCCTTAATTGTTTAGTTTCCTACATAAGGTTAGATGTCTGCTAAATTTGAAAATAAACCATCAACAGTCAACAGTCAACAGTTAAACAACGGTTTCAAATCTCCCAAAATCCCAACTCATACCTTCAAATACCCAAAAATTCCCAAATTTTACACTTTTCAGAGATGATTGGGTGGCGGGGGGTAGGCTCCCTCTTCCACGCCATGGGCGACGTCCCAGCTGGTAGGGCCTATTCCATTTGAAATGGACCTTTAGGTTTATAGGCATTGGCTTTCCTACCAAAAAACGGAACACCTGAGCTGAGTGTAATCTACTGTAGTTACTTTAATCTTTTACTAACTTATCAATAACTGATTAGTATCCTATCTTGAAGCTTTGCTGATAATCTTTCAAATTACACAAAGTAAATAAAACAATTTTCCGTTATTTGTTTCAATAGGTCTACTAGGGTTCTTTACGTTTCAATCAACTTTTTTTGCAAATCAAGAATTCAAGAAATCTTAAATATTTTGTAATACAGCAATCACGTGGCTTTTTCAATAGGTTATCTCAACAACATCCTACTGTAGCAGTTTCCCTGATTTATGCATATTCTATGTGTTCTAAACTGAATTTATCCACACATGTTAGATCAGACAATGTAAGTTATTAAATTAGTGCTAGTTGAAACCAAAAGTTTATTCCATGTGATTTATTATATTTTGTAACTGGTTCCATGTGTTTTCTCGAACTAAAAGGTTGCAAAGGTTGTACACCATGTTTTGCAGTAAGGGAATTACGATAATTCAACACTTTGTATGTTTCCGATGAATTTCTACATTTTCTTCTTGTCCACAGTACTCTAACCACCGCAACATCGCGACATACTATGGCGCGTTCATCAAGAAGTCTCCACCAGGCAAGGACGACCAGCTGTGGTTGGTGATGGAGTACTGCGGCGCTGGCAGTGTGACTGACCTGGTCAAGAGCACCAAGGGACAGTCACTGAAGGAGGAGTGGATAGCCTACATCTGTCGAGAGATACTGCGCGGCCTGTCTTACCTGCACAGCAACAAGGTCATACATCGGGACATCAAGGGGCAGAATGTGCTGCTTACGGACAACGCAGAGGTCAAACTGGGTGAGTTATACTACTACTTATACTACTACTACTACTTTGTTTATGTCCCGCAGGGGGCTCACGCTTGCGTGGGTACATGGCCTAGCGACCACGCGGACCCTAGCTCTTGCCCTCCAGAGGGGAGGTAATTGCCCGGTGTTTGAACCGGCACTTCAGGTAGGCTACAGTTATGGACGACTGGACAAGCCAGCCTCTTTGGGTGGTACCCAAAGTGAGAGTACCCAGTGACATTTCCTCCATTCAGGGTGGTGGGGTGTTCAGCTCTGCGAGACTTCGGTCTCCCACCTGCCTGTAGCTGTGGTTGTGACTGGAGTTCTTCGGGCTCGTCCTGCCTGTTGTGTACGACTGACATTTTGTGAGGCATATCCTCGGCTCTGGAAGTAGCCTCGTCCTGGGAGGTGAAAAATTGGGTAAGTTAGCCCCCAAAGGGGAGGTAACTGCTCGGTGTCAGAATCGGCATTTCAAGTAGGTCATAGTTATGGACGACTGGGCAAGCCAGCCTCTTTGGGTTTACCCAAAGTGAGAGTACCTAGTGACATTTCCCCATCCAGGTTGTGGGGGGTGTTCAGCTCTGCAAGAGGTGGAAGTGCGCCACCAATCTATCATCTGCCTGTAGCTATGATCCTTTGGGCTCCGGCCCGCTTGTTGATGTGCGACTGGCATTCAGTGTGGCAAATCCTCGACTTTGGAAGTAGCCTTCCTGGAGGTGAAATCGGGCGAGTACCCGTCAGCTCACGGGGACACTCTAGGGGAACGTAACTTTCCGCAGTGTGAGGGCAACGGCTGGGCGCACTCCATCAGCCAATCCCTGTCTCTGAGACCGGTAGGTATGGTTATCTAGAGTGTGGGGGGTTCTCCCTGGAACCTCAATTGAGCAAAGGGTGTCGCCACCTTTGGTGGATAGGTTCATCCGGGTGGGACCCACTTCTATTCCTGCCTCCTTTTGGGAAACCCTGATGGCCTGGCAGTGATGTTGGGCTTGATAGGCAAACGAAGTAGATCGGGTGCTGGGTTCAAGCCCGCTGGGGGTGTTCAGGGATCTATCGCCTTGGTCACCTCTGGTTTCCCAGCAACTGGGTAAGGCCTCGATCGTTTAGTGGTGTAAATAGGTGGTTTGGGTTCCCCCATCAGCTTGCTGGTGGTCCCCTTCTTTCTGGCTTTGATGGCGGGTTTTTCCTGTCAGGGATTGGATAGGTCCCGAGTGTTGCTTGCACTAAATGCGTCAGGGCATTCCACTATGGTCATTCTGGGTTTCGTACCTGGGGGAACCCAGGTGAAGTGACGCTTAAACAAGTAGCCGGTATCCCTGGTTAGGATTGAGGGGCAACCCTCTCTCCGAAGGGTTGCTTCGGCAGCCGGTGAGCCTGATGACCTTAAGTCATCCTCCCATGGTGTATCAATTGTTGGTGCATATGCTTCGGCCTACATCATGGGGCCCGGGTATGTTTAATTATAGGTACCGGATTTGCAGTCAGGGAGCTTCTGGCTATTATGACAAAACGAAATGGGTGAGTTATACACGGATAGTGGAAAAGTATGTGTTGCAATGCTACTTGGTATATTTACCTACAGTAGAACCTCTACCAAATAAAACACTTAATCAAAATAACAATTAACAAAATGACCTAAAGGAGATTAAATTACAGAATAAAAGTAAAGTGATCTAACAAAAAAAGGTCAGCCTAGGAACAGGGTAAAGGCCATTGGCTGTTACTATGACTTACTAAAGTATATATCCCATCCATATGGACCAGCCAAAGCCAATTTTGAATAAAAAAGAACATTGTTGAATGAGTTACTCACACAGATCAGTCCATCACTTTCAATGATGAAAAAATACCTTTTTAATAGGAATTATTGTTGTACTAAACTACTTCCCTGAATCGAAGATGACTTGTTTATCAACAAATGTTGCCCTATCTTAAACATTTTCTTTAGAAATATACAAGTTCCCCCAAGCATTAATTGAGTTTTCTTTTTATACAAATCTTGAAAGTATTCTTCAATAACATGTGTCAGTAACATGTGGCCATTTTATCTGGTGTTTTACAACATTTGACATTCAAACCATAGTTCTTGGAGACCCTTTTGCAAAATAGTTACAAGCTTCATGTGATATTTCAACATTTTTTGGTGAGTTTATTAAATCTATTTACCTAGAAACTCAATTCATTTCCAAGTTACAGTAGACTCCCTCTTATCCGGACTCCTCGGTACCGAGGCCAGTCCGGATAACAGTTTTTTCATGTCAAACCGACCGTTTAAATACATAATGTACAGTATTTGACTTAAATTTAGGAGAGCATTGTATTTAGACACGTGATCACTGGTCTCAAATATTTCCCACAAGAACAGTCGTTTCAGGACCGTCCACTTCCTGCTGATCTAGTGCTGTTAAACCGATGTGACGAAGAAAATCGTCCGGTTAAACCCATGTCCGGATAAGAGGGAGTCTACTGTATTTAAACAATGTGTTAACCCGTTCATTCTCTTCAGCAATATCCACTGTTTTGTTGCAGTGGACTTTGGAGTTTCTGCCCAGTTGGACCGCACTATCGGACGACGTAACACATTCATCGGAACGCCATACTGGATGGCCCCCGAGGTGATCGCCTGTGATGAGAACCCAGACGCAACTTACGACAACCGGAGCGATCTGTGGAGTTTAGGTCAGTCTGATAGCAGCAGTTCAACCTTTTTATAAAGAATGTACAAAATATTATTTGTATTGTTTGAATTTTAGTTTTTGTTTGGAAATTCTTTATACTTTAACCAGAACCACTTACAGCCATTGGAACAACTTATGGTTTTGTTTAGTCTATTACTACAGCTTAATCTTTTTTTTTATATAGTTTTACTCAAAATTTATCCTCATTTGACATTTTTATAGAGTTTATTTTTTTAATACAAAAGTTTTTAAGACTTTCATTAGCTCATAGTAATTTCTAATTTGCACCGGTTACTGCTACATTACCTGAAAAAAATCAGTTAACCGAAGAAATGCCCTATTATTTCGAATAATCTATTCTCTACTGTATAATGATGTTTGGTTTTTCCTCACAGATGGCATTTTCTGAAGAAAGAATTACAAAGCATTTATTGCAAAAGAATTGTTGTAAACTTTTCTATGTGTTACTAACTGTCTGTAACTTTCATTGGTGATAATGATTCTAACTTCAGCCAAGTTCATAGATTCATTTTAGATCACAGTATTAATCTGAGGCTAATCGCAAGGTGTTTTTGTGCAGGAATTACAGCCCTAGAGATGGCGGAGTCTCAGCCCCCACTGTGTGACCTGCATCCCATGAGGGCGTTGTTCCTCATCCCCCGCAACCCTCCACCACGACTCAAGTCCAAGAAGTGGGCTAAGAAGTTCCATGGTATGTGGATGAAATAAACATGGTTTGTTACTGAAAATGTGAAAATGGTTGACTATTTTCATATGTGGTGGTGTTAGCATGCCATTTATTTATGTTTACTACATTGGAATTTTTGACGGTTTTGTAAGCTCCGTGAAACAATCCAAACTCTGATCTTGTTACTCAAACATTGACCTTTTGTTAGAAGGCATCATTAGTTTTGTTGCATAACGGCAATCATGCCAGACCCAGAAACCATCCTACTTGGCCAACCAGAGAATTTAAATTGTTTATGAGGTGCTACATAATTTTTTTAGCGAATTTCCCCTATAGGGAATAAGCTATTACCGTAGTACTCATGGTAAGACCTGGACCCGGGGACCGATTTACTTTTTCGTTTTAAGGTCCCTAGAGACCAAAAAACCCCATCCATTCAAATTCATTAAATATTTATATATCTGTCCGTTAGCGCCATAACTCAAGCAAAAATCATCCGATTTTGATGAAATTTGGTACAAACGTGTAAACCTACGTTTATTCGAACGAGTTCGCGAACCAGCATGATCGGACTATTGGAACAGGGGTTTATGGGGGGTTTAATGGGGTAAAAATTGATTTTTCCAATTTTTGACCCTAAAAACTTAAAATGTAGCAATTTCTTTCCAAACCATTTTGTAGAGCTTAAAAAAACAAATTTTAGTATATTGAAGTGTTATTATGCGCCTAATAATTACGGAGAAAATTCAAAAAATCTGTAAATTTAAAATTCCCATGTTATTCTTATGGAGAATAAGTAAACTGTTGTAGTTTGCTTGTTTATGAAAATATTTTGATCAAATTTGGAAAATGCATTCATTTCATACTAAACTATTACATTTTAGATAAAACACCTTTTTACCCTCCCTGTTGCAGCAAACCTAAGTACTTGTTAATTCAATTCAATGTAATTTGTTAAACTAATGTTATTTAAATAGGGAATAAATGTGATATTCTTAAGGAGACATTTTTAGTGTAAATCCAATCAGGTACATGGAAATTCGCTTAGTCTGCAGGTTTGCTGCGGCGGGTTTTTTTTAGTTTAATATTACTACTTAGTTTTTTTATTCTTAGTTGAAAAATCAAATACTTTAATTATTGCATTATTATTCAATATTTAGGGGTTGGTTAGGGATATTCAGTGCGTTTTTTGCTAGAACCATACTGAATGTTAAACTAGAGGATGCAAAATAATCACTTGATTAATAATTTTCATCAATGTGACCAAATGATTTTCTCGTGTATAGAATAATTAATTATTAAAACTCATTTAAAGTAAACTCAACCAAAAACTATTTATTTACAAAAACTAAACAAATAATGTAAACAAACCAAATAGCAGATGATTCATACTTCATAACTCAGCTGGTAACAATAATCCTACATTTCTCCCCACCCAATTTAGGCTGAATTTCCGAAACTATGTACATCATCATTTTCAGTTTCCATTTGCATTTTCCATTGAGGTGGATCAGTTGCACCTTCTCTTGCTCTCAGCTGGTCAGCGTGTTTTCTCTTTACATCTCCCCCAACTACAACTGTGTACTACAGCTCTCCCGTCCTTTCTTGTACTGTTCCTGGTCTCCAGCCCTTCTTCGTTTCATTTTGAACCCACACTTCTTGTTTGGCAGAAAACTCCTTTGGTTTGGATTTTAAGTCGTGGTAGTACTTCTGTCGCCACACTTGATTTTCTATTCTCTCTCTGCTATTACACCTCCACCTATCCAAAGCTGTTGGTAATCTTCTACCATAGAAAAGGACTGATGGTGGTTGTCCTGTGGTCTTTTGTGGGGTGTTTCGATACGCAAGCAACACTTGTAAAAGTGCAAGTGATGAACTGAGACCTTCTTGTTTGCAAGCACTATATCGACTCTTGAAGGTTCTGATAATCCTCTCCACTAAACCATTGGTTTTTGGATGATACGGCGCTGATGTGAGATGACATATGTTATTGTTCTTACAAAAAGTCTTAAACTCATGGGACGTGAATGGGGTGCCATTATCGGATACAATTTTTTTAGGAATACCATACCTCGAAAACCAAGTCCTTAATCTATTTACAAGAGCAGCAGTTGTCGTACGGTCCATAACTTCGATCTCAACCCATTTTGAGTAAGCATCGATTCCTACTAACCAGAATCGGTTGTCAAATGGACCTGCGAAGTCGAGATGAATTCTCTCCCAAGGATCACTTGGCACATTCCAAGGATATAGAGGCACTTCTGTGTCAAATGATCGGTTACTCTGGCAAGGGTGGCATCTACGGACATAAACCTCAACATCCTTATTCAGATTAGGCCACCAAACATAATACCTTGATAGGGATCTCATGGCCTCTATTCCAGGATGTCCTTTGTGGAGTTCTTTCAATACATTTTCTCTCAAAATCTGTGGCACCACAATTCTTCCTAATCGCATGATTATGCCGTTTTCTAATGTCAGCTCTTCTCTCTTATTCCAATATGGTTTCATAGATGATGGCAAGCTTTCTGTATCTTTTGGCCAACCATGCTCCAGGTAGTCTGTAAGTTTCTTCATATTTGGGTCTTTCTTATACTCTCTTACAAGTTCATGATTTTGATAAACTACGTCAATTTTCTCCTGAACCAATGCTCGAATCTCTCTCTCATCTGGATCTAATACTTCTTGTGTCTTGAGTGAAAACCGAGACAAAAAATCAGCCACACAATTATCCTGTCCCTTGATGTACTGGATCTCAAAATCATACTCCATTAAATACAAAGCCCAACGAACCAAGCGGTTGTTTACTACTTTGGTAAGATCTCGATGCATTCCAAATATTCTTTCAAGTGGCTTGTGGTCCGTCCTCACCTTGAAATGTCTTCCACTGAGGTATTGTCTAAACTTCTTCACGGCAAAAACTAACGCCAGTGCTTCCTTGTCAACTGTAGCATACCTTTTTTCTGCTTCCGTTAGTGTCCTCGAGGCGTACATGACTGGCCTTTCCGTTCCATCCGGCATCAAATGTAACAGCACTGAACCCACCCCTTGTTCACTAGCATCACATTCAACAATGATCGGCTTTGATATGTCGTATGGGACTAATGTGTTCTCTAATGACAGTATATTCTTCAACTTGTCGAACGTAGTTTGTTCGGTGTCAGTCCATTTCCATTTAGTCTTCGTACCAGTCAGCTTATGCAAGCTTGAAGCGATCGCATGAAGATTAGGTATGTACCTTTCATAAAAATTTAGTGCCCCTAGAAAAGCTCGTAATTCTTTCACGTTTCTTGGCCTTGGTGCGTGTCTTATGGTTTCAACTTTGTCTTCGGAGGGATGAATACCATTCCCATCTATTGTATGACCTAAATACTTTACAGACTTCTGAAAGAACTTACATTTTGACAATTTTGCTCTTATTCCACTTGATTCGATTCTAGCCGCCTCAAAACTTCTCTAAGAGTGGTTATATGGGTGGTCGTATCCTTACTAGAAATGATTATATCATCAAGTAGAACTCCAACATTAAGTCCTATTAGTAAACTTTCCATGTACCTTTGAAATTTTGCTGGACTTGAGGAAAGACCAAAAGGCAACCTTTTGTAGCGAAAGTAGCCTACATGAGTTGCTATTGTAAGATACTTTTGTGACTCAGGGTGTACTTTCATTTGCAAGTACGCGTCTCGAAGATCTATCACTGAAAATATCTTTCCATCAGTTAATTTGGAAGTCAAGTCATCAAAGGTCGGCAAGAGGTGTCTCTCCGGAACTATGTTTGGATTCAAGGTTGTACGAAAATCGCCACAGATTCTGACTCTACCTCCACCCTTGTCTACGTTGACAGTTGGGGTACTCCATTCTATCGGTGTTTCGGAAGGATCCACTGCTTCCAAAACTCCTTCCTGTACTAATCGCCGTAATTCTCTCTCCACTGCCTCCCTTAAGGGGAATGGAACTCGTCGTGCCCCGTAAGATACAGGTTTTGTTCCACTTTTTAGATGGATAACTTCATTAGAGTCAGATATTGTTCCTAGCTCATCACGAAAGAGTTCAGAAAACTCCTGAGTTAATGTCACAACTTCTTTTTGTAACTCTTTTCTACAACTTTCTTCATTCTTGCCTGTCTCTTTACTATTTGTCTTTCCATTATCAATACGCCTAACCCTTACTTCCCTAGGCAAACTAAGATTGAAAGCTACACTCCACGGCAACCCAAATAATGGAACATCATCTTCTAGTAATACAATAACTGGCAATCGCTTAGTACGATTACGTAAAGTAACGTCCACAAAAGCCTTACCCATGACTTCTAGCTTATTTTTCCCATAGCCAGTGATTACATCAGACGTCTTTTTTAGAGATTCGCCACTTGAATTGATCTTATCCCAAAGAGACAAACTTATAGCACTTACCCGAGCTCTTGAATCAAACTCCATTCTAACATTATACCCGTTCAATTCTACATCTATCGTAGCTCTGGGAACCTTACTCTTGACAGACCTAATTTGTGTTCCGCTAACATCAATATCAGAACTACACTCATCATCGTAAGTTTGATCACAAGAATCATCTACTTTTCTCAAATTACCATCGGTTCTCTTGAAAAAATTATGTTTAATTTTGCACATTCTTGCGAAGTGGCCTCTCCTTGAACATTTCTTGCACACAGCAGAAATAGCAGGACACCTATCTTCACTAGGGTCATGTGTAAACCCACATCTATAACACCTATTGAAGCCAGTAGATTTCTGTACTTCTGGTTTCCTCTTTTCCTTACTGTCACTTACTTTAAGAATCTCATTTTTACACGAATGTTTGGAAACTTCTTCTCTCGCTCGTTCCATAGATTGAGCTAACTCTAGTACTACTGTTGACTTAACACGCTCACCTCGGTTATTAACTCCCTCGGGCCATCTTTGTCTGACTTCGACTTCAAATTCTGGACAGTTGCTTCCTACTGCAAACCTATCTCGTACTCGTTCATCTAAGCTATCTCCATATTTACAACTTCTAGCTAAAGACTTCAATCTGTTATAAAACAAAATAAATGTCTCACCATCTTTTCTTATTGCTCTTTCGAACTCAAACCTTGTTGCAAAAAGGGTCCTTGTAGGCTTGAACAACCGGTTGGCTTCCTCTTTGACTTCGTCGTAGGTGCACTCCTCCCAGGCCCTTGGATACATCTGGTCCGACAGTGCCCTGAGGTGCTCCTCTCCGATATTTGCCAATAGAAGATCTCGCCGAGCCGCTTGTTCTTCTGTGTTAGCACCACCCAGTCCCTTAACTCTGCAGGTCAACTCAAAACGAGCTATGTAGTCTTCCCACAATTGTTCACTATTATACTCTTTAAATGAAAATCTGCTCATTCTATCTTGTATGCAAGACATGTTACTACAGTCAATTACACTCCTATACTGAGACTGGTCTGTTTTCCTCGGCATTTTCTCGTCGCCAATATAGAATAATTAATTATTAAAACTCATTTAAAGTAAACTCAACCAAAAACTATTTATTTACAAAAACTAAACAAATAATGTAAACAAACCAAATAGCAGATGATTCATACTTCATAACTCAGCTGGTAACAATAATCCTACATCGTGTTAACACAATATAGATCAAGAGAAAAAAATGAGTGTCTCAAATTTTCCTCAATTTTGTTATCATTGCTTTTTTCTCCATTTTAGTTTCATTTTTTTAGGGATTATTGCCTAAAACTTTTAAATTTGTGTGGATTTAACCTTCCCTTTCACACCAAAGTTCAAGACATAAGCCACTAGGCTAGTAACAAATCCTAGATGCTACAAGTTTTATTATACTAACAAACCAAGTCTTTGTCTTCAGGCTTCATTGAGACAGTCTTGGTGAAGGACTACCATCAGCGACCATACACAGAGCAGCTGTTGAAACATCCGTTCATACGAGACCAGCCGACTGAGCGCAATGTGCGCATACAGCTCAAGGACCACATTGACCGCTGCAAGAAGCGCAAACAGGAGAAAGGTGAGTGAAGTAGGACGCTTGTAAGATTATATCTTTAGAGCTTCTCAAGTGTGCCAGGGTTTCCATAAACCTGGAAAGTCAGGGGAGGGAATTTTGTCAGAAGACAGAAGAAATAATGCAAATTGCTTTGGGATCAGGGAAAGTCAAGAATATTGGTTTGGGGTGTTGGGAGATCAGAAAAACTGGTTTTGGGAAAGTAATGTTTATCATAGAGGTTGGTTACAGGTTGAAAAATTGGCTTGGGGTGAAATAAGAAATAAGTGATTCATAATGCCAAAAGTGGGGGAAATTGTCTTAGAATTATAAAGTGTTAGTGAAGTTGATGAAAAAAATAAATATAGGATATACATACTAATTTGTTTGATAATTTGTAATTATCAATACATTTTATCAGTACAGTTCACCTTCGTACTGTACCGGCTCACCCCTTGCTTTGCTGGATACGTTCCACACACAGATCTAGATGGTCAAGCAAATGTAAGGTTGAAAGGCCGCCAACCTCTTAAAAAAACTTTAAAAGAATAACTACTTTCTTATTTCTTAATTGATACTCTCCATCAGATAGTTCATTTTCAGTCTAATGTCTAAGACCTTTGACAACTAAAGCCCGTTAACAAGCACTTGACTTTTCAATTTGCTTTAAACACTACTACCCTGGATTCTTCTACAGATGAATCCGTGATCTCCTTTTGATTTCCCTTGTCGCTTTTATTACTTAATTTGACAGTGCATGTTTTTATGAGTACTTTTCTATTCCCCCCAGAGCGTGAAGACTACAGATACAGTGGCAGTGAGAATGAAGAGGAGGAGCCAGCTATTGCTGGAGAGCCGAGCAGTATTGTACAAGCCCCTGGTGACAACACTCTGCGTAGGAACTTTCAACAGATACAGGTCTGTAGGCTTTCCTTGATTCAGGAAGCTTACAATTACAGTATAATCGTAACAGTGCGGAAAGATTCAATATGTTTCAGTATATAGCTAGAAATAAAAGATTTGAGGCATATAGGTTTTATTTTTCCACAAAATTCCAACTTCTGCATAATTTTATTTTTTATTTTTTATTTTTTTATTTGGAAAATCTCAAAAATCTTACAATATTTTATAAACAAAGCTTGCTGCAAAAGCCAGGAAAAATTGGCTTGTCTGCAGCTCATAGAGATAAACTTGTTCTAGATAACAATGAACTTTGTCCCTTGGTCAGTCTTCTCCATATTACACTCTGGTTTTCCTTGTTTCTTGTCATGATCTGCTATTTGTTGTTTTGACTTATTCTCTACCTTTCTATATAAGACTAGCTTGAAACAATTATCTTAAATAAATAAAATATATAACAATAAATAACATGCATTAAATACTTCTCAACTTTAACAATAATATAACGAAATAATTGTTATAACAATACAACAATACATAAATAAATAAATAATTAAATTGCTTGTGAAAATAGTTTTTATCTCAACTGTTTTTTCCTATTCGGCAAATCAGGACAATAGCTGCCAGATACATTTTGATGGCATCACGACTTGGCAGTTGAGCTGAATCATAAACCTTCCAACATTACAATCTAGGTTGTCATTTTTTTGGTAACAGTATTGACTTTTCTTTTTGTGTCAAATTGGGCAAATCATAAATCTTTGAATATCAAACACAACTTTTTTCATCTTGTTTAAATCTTGCAAACTTACTTTTAGTTAGCCAAAGATTTTTTGATATGAGAAAAAACGGACTTAACATTTAAAAAACCGTATACATTGGCAAATTTATTTGAGGTTTCTGTACCATATTTTGTTCTCTGCAGACTGATATTGCCAATGTGTTGTACTGCAGTTTTAGCTCTCAAACTCATTTTCCTATCAAATTATACAAAAGTACATCATTATTGTTTTGAGTAAAAACTATATTTTCGTATGCTATAGGAGGGAAGAACTTTGACACAGAACGAGTCTAAAGAAGACAACCACGGCCGCAAGAAAGGAGAGCGAGAAGAAATACCAGAACCTGGTCCTCCTGCCCGGCCTCCCATACCTCCTCAGAGGCTTATAGGTGGGTTAATATAGATATTTGAAGTTTTATGGGTTAAGTAGCCACTTAAAATTGATCAACACAGTTTATCCTTGTACTGTACCGTCTCATTTTGCTTCGCTCTAAACATTCCTCAAGCGCAGGCCTTCAAGACCCTTGTGGGCTGCCAACTGAAAGGTTAAAAAAAGTCATGTATGCAAGAGGATTGTGTTCAGTTCCAGGCATGCCCTATGTCATGTGATTTTCATTGAGCAATCTTGAATTATTTTTAAGTAAATCAGTCCAAATGTTAAAGGAAAAAGTTGAAACCCTTAATGTAATGCGGGATCTTTGAAAATCTTACCCTCTCTCACTGACACCCTCGATGCTAGCTCCTAGCTTTGACAACACAAGTAGACATCTCATCCCATTGTAAATTTTGAAGCTTGTTTTTCGTGTCTAGTTCATGTCCTGTGACACTGATCGCTGGTGTTGACAAAATTTTGTTTCTATTAAGGTTAATTTCATGATTTGTGCATTACTCTTTGGTTATATCACTAAAAGACGATTTATTTTTTATGATTAGATTGTTTTATTTGGTTAAATGAGGTTTTAAATCACTGAAATGACAAGAAACAAACTGTAAACAAAACACAACCTCTACAGTGCACCGGACAGAACCAACAATAAAATTGGCTTGGTGATCATAAACCTGAGAGAGTCCTTGAGCTTTAGGTTGTTTAGCTGAAAGAGTATGTTTTACCTTTGCTCCTAGGCTGTTTTTTTTTTTTTTTTTTTTTTTTTTGAGGATAGCAGGTTCACCTGAACTGGAAAGAGTTCATTGGCAGACAAAAACCATAAAACCTGTCACTATTACCAGAAATTACAAGATTTCAGTCACTAACAGCATTTTCAACCAAAGAACATTTGAGTTGGACATAGTATTGTCATCAGATAATCAAAAATCTGTTGACAGTGTTGCCAATATGTACACATTTTATTATCTCAATTTCTGTGTTTATATTAGATATTATGAATGTTTATGTATTCAAATGGTAAAAAGTGAGTTAATACGGCAACGCTGTCAACAACCACTTCATGGTTACAATTGAATCTGAAGACAACTCTCTCTGTTCAACTAAAACTTTTCTTGGTTGAAAATGCTGTCAGTGACTGTGAAATACTTGTAAATAGGTATTTTATGCAAGGGTGAACTCTTTCCTATTTAGGTAAGCCAGACATCCTTACAAAAACCCTCCAACTTGGGACCCTAATATTATGCTCTATATTCATCCTTAATACCGGTACCAAAATGTTTGTGATATTTCATCAGCAATAAACACTTGCTTGGTGTAATAAAACAGTGGCAATTTTTTAAAAGCATTCTTCATGTACGTCACCAAATGAAAATTTAATAAATTTGTCTACATCTCTTTTCATTCTGTTCAAAAACTGTTAGGCCTACCTCTTTTTATCTAATTTTCTTAAATTATATAAAAGTGGCTTGACCTTGTCAACATTGATGAGTGTTGAAGCATTGTCTTTAAACTTCTGTTGTGTACAATGACTGTGGCATTTTTTCATTTACCTTCAATTTTGGTGTATTTTGAAGTGTACATAAATGTCTACTTGTAACACCTCATCATCGATAATTGGTTCAGCATATACAGGGTGTTTAGGAGTGCACTTACTGAGTGGAACCGTCGACCATTTTATATTTACTCTGCACCTGATGTTTTAGTCAATATTTGAGACTTTTAATCAGTTTTTGTCTTATCTAGTCTTTTTAGATGGACTATTTCACAAGTTCTGAAATTGAAGTTGTAAAGTTTCAAATTGGTAAAGTAAAAATAACTTATGTCGATGTTGAGATTGGCGAAGTGTAAATAGTAAATTGTCTACACCAATTACTCATGCAATATTTCTCTGTTACAGTGGTGCCGGACCCCCACCCTCCATCTCGACCCCTACCCCCGCCTCCTAGAGAGGAACGTCAACAGAAACCAGGACCTCCTACACAAGCACAACCTTCGTCTCAGCAGCAGCGCAACTCACATGTCTTCAAACCCATGGTCAGTAACAGTCAGTACCTGCATATATACAGTATTTCTCATTTCATCCCTGCAGTAGTATTTGATTACAAACCCAGTGATGTAAGTTTTGTAGTACAGATTAAACTAGAAACAAATATCCTTTAACCTATGTTTTCGATCCTGTTGTTTGCATAGAATACGTTTCAACCTTTAGGTGTGGCGAGGAGCTGACAATGGTCTAAAGGTCGGAACACGTTTTTTGCAAACAATAGGAGTGTAAACTAGAGTCAGTATTTGCAGTCATTTTCTCAAATTATAAGTAATACCTAATAATAATAATAATAATATCACTTTATTCTTATTGTCATAAAACATTTCACATTTCCAGCAAAGCTGGTGAAACAGATGACATTGTCATTTCTTAGCTAACAAAAATAAAAAGTAAAACTAAGGATTAAAATTAAACTAGTCACTTTTTAAAAAACAGTCATTTAAATACTCTTCTATTGTATAATATTTCTTTTTTATAAGGAATGTTTTTAATTCTTTCTTAAACTTACTCTTGATATTTTTAAAATGAGCAGGTAGACCGTTGTAAAGCCTCAGACTCATGTAGTACAACGATCTTTCATACAGGCATAGCCGATGTCTTGGATACTGCAAATTATTTTTTGAACGTGTTTGGTATTGATGAATAAATTGATTGTCTATAAATAATTGTGCATTACTCTTGAAGTATACCAGAATTTTATAAATGTAAAGTGAAAGCATTGTTAACATTCCATATGTTTCAAAAAGCGGTTTACATGACTTTTTTTTGCGTGTAAATGATAAGATTCTTAAAAACTTCTTTTGTATCTTAAAAATAGTTGAGGCATATGATGTTGAGCCCCATAACTCAATACCATATTGCATAATGGAAAAGAATATGGCATAATAAACTATGACCTTTGTTTTAGAATCTATTATGTTTCTTAAAACATACATCTGGAAACAAGCTGTATGTAATTTTTTAGCTAATATTTCAATGTGATGTTTCCAAGTCAAATTTTTATCAATATTTAAGCCTAAAAATTTTGTTTGTTCGACAAAAGCTAAAATATCATTTTCATATGGTAATTCAAAAATTATGTTTTGCTTATTTTGTAGTGTTTGGAATTGCATAATATGTGTTTTAGAATTATTAAGTTTTAAACCATTCGCCGCAAACCAGCTAGTTAAGTCTACAATGGAACGATCAAGCTCTAATCTAAGAGTATGTACATCATTTATATCTCCCCTGTTTATATCTCCGTGAAATAAGTTTCTCTAATTCTATAATTTAAAAAATAAGCAGGTGCCTTTGTAATTTACAAAATTGTGTAGTTAAAATCAATGATACAGTTGTGTTTTGTCTTTGTAAAGCAGAACATACAAATGTTTTCTAATATAGGTTGCACTACGAGTGTAAAAACTTAGTGTCATTGGTAATAGCTAAGCTTACAAACACAGAAGTGTTGAATATTATTATTACCTAAACATTCAAGCATGGTACGGGCGTTTAAACATTTAGTATGGTTGTGAAGCTGTACAGTAAGCCTTTGTCTCATTCTAGATATTGACCACTCATTCACGTTTGATAATTATTCAATACCTACACACTCTTTTCAAACCACCAATAAAACCTTTGTCAGTGAACAAAGTATGAAAGAATGTAGTGCTATTCCTCATGTTTATGTTATTCAAATTTTCAACTGATTTTCCGACGTTTTTATTTTCAAGCTATATTTTGTTTGTCTCTGTTTATTAGAAGAATATATTTTCACACTTCCTCTTCATCAATAGAGCTTTCGGATATGATTCAACAGTGGTTAACATTGGTTAGAAATGGACAAAGTTGTTTTTAAATAATTTTATAATAAATCAATTATTTACTTAATTTGTTTTCTAGAGTAATATATTTTCTATATTTCCGTTGAAGCTACCAGTGTCATGATCATAATACCAGAAATGCATGTTAAACAGTTTTTTAAAATAGCTAAATGGGATATTTGATTGTGCCATGTGATGTACTGATGAAGTATCTGGCCTAGGGTAGGATCGATAATTTTTTTTAAAATTACAGTTTATGTTGATGTTTGGTCATTTTAAAAAACTTGTCGTGGTACCTCAACATTCATATTCAATTAGTTCCCTTGCCTCCCCCCAAATTTCAGCAACTATCTAGCCTACCCTATCATATGCTAGATGGTATTATCTTGTAAATTATAGTGGACCAAGCAGTATAAGGCACTCTCTTCCCAGCCAGGTTATCTCAGTACAGATTGAGGTTTTCTTTCATGCTGCGAGTCTGTGGTGTATAACTCATCAGATGTTCACTTGACTAGAATAGAGATTGGTGGGAGAGGCCGTCTAAAATAATCAACAGACGGCTTAAGTGGAAGTTGATGGGATGGGTAGATTCTTTTTAGTTAGACCTCATATCAGTCAGCTTATTTCTACTGTACTTTTTCTTAACAAAGTTCAAGTGTCTACCAAAATCATGAAAAGAATTTCCATTTTTATCCTCATAAAATGTGGTAAAAACAAAACATGAATTATCTCTGGAATTCAAACAGTTATAAGTGTAAACCGGAAATTCCCTTTAATGAGGTACTGTATTTTAACAAGTTCAATAGTGTAAATAGAAATCCACAATACCTACAGGTTTGCTGAAATGAGGGGGAGGCTGTAAGTGTAAAGTCCAAACAACCACTGTTGAATGCTCCGCTTTGCCTCTCAGTTCTGCCCTTGTCTGTTTCACCGCTTGTTCACCTTTCGTTTGTTTTTTTCATGTTTTTCCTGTCCTGCAGCTGCCACCGAGAAGACCAGAGGTAAGACTCTTTCCGAACCGTTTTTATTTTATTTATCTCACTAGCCCTACTCTTTTTTTTTCTTTACAATTGTTTTTTTCTCTACTGCCTTTTACATTTTTTTGTTTTCTGAAACATTGTTAAGCCAACAAGTAAAAAAAAACTATGATCCAGTATTTTAAATATCGTCGAAGAAATGGTATAAGTTTTTGCAGCAAAAAAATGCTTATTCTTTTGTTTGTAACACAAACAAATAATTTTTTTCCATACTTTTCTTATGGGGTTACAAATTTGTAAAACAAATTCAACTACAGAGACGACCATGTACAATTCAGCTAATTATTAAGTGTTAAGACATTTCATAAACAATTATACTTAGCAGATTTAGAAGAGTTTACTGTTTGGAAAGCCAGTGTAAAAAAACTGTTAATACAATTAATTTGATATTTTACCCGCATTCTATCATAGCCTATAATTTCTTGTGTTATTACTTTAATTGCTTTTTATCATCACTCTGCTATCACTCAACAATGCATGCATTTCAACCACAGGCTAACCTCTGTTGTATTGACAGGATCTAGACATGCTGGCAGCTCAACTGAACGAGCTAGGTGTACGAGGCAGTGGTGGAGGTGGAGGAGGTGGTGGGGGAGGGGGCAGCAGACAGAACGGAGCTACCAGGCCCCCCGCCACCTCTGTGTTGGACTCGGACAGTGACGATAGTGATGAGGAGGAGGAAGAGGGAGGAGCCGGGCCAGGCAGACAGGCCAATGACGGCACACTGCTGGCCAGCGACCCTCCTAAGCCTCTGTGAGTAACTGATACAGACTCCATTTGTAACATAAAGTTTAAGGGCAGGTGATAAAATGTCATTCACAAAACAGACTAGGATGACCCCTAGAACCAGCCATACTCAAATTTATTCCTGGTTTGCTTAGAAACTGCTGATAAAAATCTAGGGGTTTATTCAAAAGCTCCTCCATGGTTTTATCTGGCTAATTATTGTAATTAATTGAGGGCTCAGAGCTCAAGAAGCGCTCGGGAAAGCGTGCAAATGCTCAAGTACAGCTATTTTATCCTCACCCTCCCAAAAGTGTTTTTGAGAAATTCGCCTAGCTTTTAGAATGACTGTTGGCAATTACAGTAGACCCCCTCTTAACCGACCCTAATGGGACCCGGACCTAGGTCAGATAACTTAAAAGGTCGGTTAAAACGGGCAATCCCTAAAATTATAACATAATGAATTGCTATTCATTTGGAAATATATAATCGTTATTTTGAAATCATACTTGCATTATTTATAAAATAAACTACTCTTATCTCCTTTTTCATATTGGTAAAAAAGTCACAAATAAACAGAACACAAAACACGGTTAAGTCAAATAGGCCTACTTTCAGTGGAATATATTATAATACTAGGCAAGAGTCAATAAAATTCCTATTTTAATAACTTTAGTACTGTAATGTATTAATTGATGCTTTCCAAATACATCGTAATACAGTACACAACCTTTTGTCGACATTAAAGATACAAGCGACCATTTTGTTACAAGACAGGACGTTTATTTATAGCCTCTCACTGGAGGCTCGAGGCACAAAAACTATCTTCACCTACAAGTTGCGTTGTTTGTTTACTCCGGCGATAAGATAATCAGTTTTCAAAATCATAACGCACTTTAAGATGTTTATTACATTTGCCACACAGATAACAAATCAGATTAGATGTGCTCGAGCTACGAACAATGATGACAAACTGACAATAGGCTATGCTATTTTTTTTGTGATCAACACAAAATAACTTATTGTTAGTCATATCCTGTGGAGATAAGCGTATGGTTCAGTTCTCATCGCCCAGCGTGGGAGCGGAAATGCCGAGATTCCAAGAAAGCGGCGGTTAAACCGAGCTGCTCTCAAAGCAAGGTCGGTTAAAACAAACTGTATTATTTTACGATCGAAGGCGGATAACCCGATTATCGGTTAATACGAGGTCGGTTAAGAGGGGGTCTACTGTATATGCTACCCAGAAAAAGAGATGAACATACTGTAATTTACTGAAACAAGTAATAAAAATTCGTATCGAGTCATGTAGGGCCTAATTAGTGAAAATAAAATAAAATGAAAAAGTACACTTATTTACCAAATAAAAAATAAGCAATATTTCTCAGCACTTTTACAACAATGGTCACAATGACCATCTGTTGCGTCTGGTGCAATTAGTGTTTGGTACAATGATTCCTTGCATCATTGTCAGTGACAATGAGAGGTTATACATGAAAACACCCTAACCAAACCCCACCAAAACATAACCATAATTAAAACACTTTCATCGGTAAAGTAGTGTACGCAACTCATGTAAATATGAGTTAAAATATAAATAAATAGAAGTTTTTAAGGCAATAGCCAAGGCTTTTGTACCTTCAATTTTTACTCGTGTCGTTAATACTATCTTTACGCGATTGTTGTAAAACTACTATTATAGTACAATACACAAATAAAATAATCAGTTATTAATTACAATTTGTTTACCTTTAACCCTAATGGTGAATGACCCTGAAAAGATCATTGTTTCCGTTTACTGAAATAAATCAAACACATGGTTTAATTATGTTTTCTAATATACCTGGTCTGTTCTTTTCTCAGTAATGATCTTCCCAAAACAATATTAACAAATCACTAGTGATGATTCACGCATGAAATACAATGTTTTAAGGCAGCATCCCAAAACCACTTAGCAAATCGTGACATCAGAGAACTTTTGTCAAGAGTTATCCATAAGATGCATAGTTTATCTGTTATAATGTCTGTTATAATTATTGAAAAGAATTTCAGAAACCACAAGTTGGCCACTGGGTAATTAATTTGGGTGTCCAAGCACTGTTCAGTTTCTTTTTGTTTGGACAAGTTATTGTCCAATTAATTGAAGGTTAACCTTTTTTTTCTCATAGGGATTCTTATCACACAAATTCATTTCAGTAAATTTTGAAGCCTACTTTTCTTGTAGATATGGTTTTTATTACTGTTTAATTTTAATATGGCTCAACAACGCTATCATTTGTTAACACGCAGCCCGGAATTTTCTCCTTACAGGCCGGCTGATGCAGCTCAGAGCGGGTTGATCCATGAAGTGAAACGTAAGTCATCATTTGTAATACTTTTGTGAAGGGAATTTATAATTAACACATTGTGATAAGTACTATGATTTTTCCTGAAAACGCTCATAAAAATCACAAAATTGATTAAATTTGAAAATTTTGTGATATTTACAAAAATGCCTTCAATTATAAACCTTGTCATATTTTGGTCAAAGTTTATTTAATTTTAATTTTTAACAAACTAAAATTAAAGCAGAGTTTTTACACCACCTTTTCTTTTATAGGCAAAGAATTTCTTTTTTAATCAAAAGGTTTGGTTGTAACCCCTTTTTAGCATTAGCTGTTGTATGTCTAAGATGATCTGTTGAAATCATTAAATCTAGGGTGCTTGGCTTGTTTAAATTTTAATTGTTATTGTGTGTGTCAATGCTCCTTCATCATTTTTATTATGACCAATATCACCATTTGCATTCACCAAGGATATGGTAGGATCATAAAATTTACATAACAATATGAGAAAATGAATAAAGATATTAGGTCTAAAGTTTAAAGAGCTAAATATCAAAAACTTTTCTTATATACTCATTATTATTTGGGTTTCACTACCCCGTGCGCGCTCCAGCGTAAAAAAAAAACTAGAGTACATGCTTAAGGGTTAATGTGTTCATTCTTTGCCTCTGAGGGAGGCAACTGGTCTGGGTGTTAGAACAAGCAAGGGGTGATTTATATTTTGATGGTCAGGGTTCAAATCTCACCAATCACCTATGTCTTTTAGCTTGTTGTGGTTAGGAGGTATTTAGGTGTTGGTTTATATATGACAAATAATTGTCTCCCAGGCAAGCAGAGCATTCTAAAAACTCTCTCTAGATTTTTTTATCTTTTTTTGTTTTCACCATTTAACCACCATTATCCAAAAAGCTTGTAATAATTTGGTCTCTGAAATGTGCTACATGTCAAGTGGTGTGTCTAGCTCCTGTGACCAGCGGAGGAGCCCCCAACCGGCCCCTACCTCCCACCCCCGATGAAGAGGAGAGTGGGGACCGAACTTTGGTCATGAGAAGGGTAAGTCACCTCCAAACCCGAATGTTAGCAAATTACCGTATTTGTACCAGTTTTGTAACGGCTTTGGTGGTTGGCTTCATGGGAAAAATTATGTAACCCGTTTCTCTACTTGGGAAAGGTTCTGTTTCTTTTCTGGTTTCCATTTTAGTACTGGTATTATATTGATATGTAATAGTTTACCGGAAGGGGGATTAAAGGTGTTTCGTATATTAGTTGATTATTTTTCGGTTGTTGTAACTTGCAGTTCAAAATCTACTTACTCTTACTAATTTGAAACTACAATACCATTTGAATTTCAATTCATGTAATTTTAAATTTCATGCATTACTTCATAATCGTTTAATCCTATTTCTCAAGACTACCTTGCAATGTACATTTTCTTTTCATATGTAGTAAATACCATTATACATCTGCAAATCTGAGACCTGTAGCATATGTGAAATTTGACTAACCGTTGGTTCTGTACATAGCCTACGAGCTAACCACCGATGTCTGTCTGTTAGTGTGCTTGCGCGTGCTTGTTGTCTGTTGTACACTCTATGTATGCACTTGTACTGTATGCACTAGAGACAAAAACAGGAGGAGGAGTCGTTGTTGAAGAAGTGGGACCTGACGCACATCTTGCAACGGCTCGACCGCATGAAAGGCGACGCCGAGGAAAAGGTGAAGCAGGAAGAGAAGGAGAAGGAAAACGGGCACAAAAGAAACGGCTCTGATGGTTCTAGAGTGTTCCGTAGGGAAAACTCAGACTTTTTTCTCCCCTCTTCAAGGCACTCAGCCGTATTTTTAGAGAACAAGAACGTTCGGCAGAACCCGTTCAATTCTAGTTCTCGACGAGGCTCGGACGTTGCCGGGCTTGTTGGCAAGTACACAAGTCCAAAACCGGGCGAACCGGTTTTGACGGACTTTAGTCTGACCTCTAGTGGGGGTGAGTGGCAGCCAGTGAGGCCGAGACGCGAACGCACGGAGGGAGATATAGTGTTGCAGAAGTCCCGACAGGAGCTGCGAGAGAATCTGGAGGCTCGGAGGATCGACGTGGAAATGAGATTCTCAAGGGAGGCGGAGAGAATGAGGAAGCGTAATCCGCGGCCAATCACTGAGACAGCTACGAGCACGCAAGACAGACAGGTTAGTCCGGGGTGCTGTAGACTCGTTAAATCTGACTCGCCTTGATTTTTCTGTAACTTCTAAGAAATTGTTTTGCAACTTTTATTTTGAGTAATGTATAAAATCAACAGGAAAACCTCTATTAACTGCCACTAGTCACCGAGCACACAGTTGAACTTTTAAGGGGGACACTAGTGATGTCAAATCCAAAAATTTCAATTATCAATACCTGAACCCAAAAAGTTTCTACTTCTCTGGTTAAGGTTACAAAAAATACAGGTAAAAATCAAATGTTTATCACGCAATCAAGACTCAATGAAATTCAACACCTGACCTTGAAATAGTGAATATGTGACTAATACACTAAACCCCTACGAATTACAAAAAAAAAATATATATATATAAATTAAGGAAAAGCCAATTGGCTGATTAGGCTTGTTATGTACAAGGATATGGATCAGCTACCTTACCTGGTAGACAGAGTCCAGATTAGCTTTGGTAACAAACACAAAACAATAAAACTTAATATTTTGTCCCAAATGGAGAAGAAAGAAGACTGGAAATTGTGTTACCAAAGCTAATCTGGACTCTTATCTACCTAAGCTAGCTGATCCCTATCCTTGTACATAATAATCCTCGACAGAAATTAATTAAACTTCTTTTGAAGTTTTGAATCTCAAAACCCACTGATTGAATCTAAAAACCGGAGATTTTCCTAAATGTTGATGAGTTTTTTTTTTTAAGATTGGAGTCTGACACAATACTAGGGGACATTATTTTGCAATATTCTACATCAACCATTTTCATGCAAAGGGAGTTTCCCAAAATGGTGGTTTAGTAACTCTAATTTTGCGCTACAACTTGATCTTCTAATTTTCGACACTTTTTTATGGCAATCTCTGAATTTACAGTACTCCAATCTTTGTTCGTATAGAATTACTTTGGTATATATTGAAGCATTGATTACCACCTACATATTTTTTTATTTAGAAAATAAAACACTTTAAAAGTTACAATCTTAAAACTTTTCACTGAACGTCTATTTTCCATATTTTCTTGTAACCGTTGCAGTTTTAGTTTTGTTGGTGACAGTTAATCAAGGTTCTACTGTATTGAATTTCATAAATTATTCAGTCATTTATGATTATTATCAGTTAGCTTTTCTTCTTCAGTATGCTGTTCTCCTAATATTGCAGTTTAACATTTTCTGTAATAGTTTCATGCGATTACTTTTGAAAAAGTTTAGTTTGTCAGAATTTTATTTATAGCTTTTATTGTTACATTCAAATCAAGGCTTACATAATGCATAGTGATATATTCATTTTTTATTGGTTCAAAAAAGAGTGCAAAATAGTGTTATGGCACTAAAACAACAGTTTGTTTTCAACATAAATTCTACTGTCAATAGTGTTTAAACATTTTTGTCAGAAATTGTCTAGAGAGTTATTGTTGATGTAGATACTATATCAATTTCACTTTAAATTAAGATTTCATTTACAAAAAGTTGTAAACATTTTAAAATTTCAATACAATTACATTATACACATCTGTCACAGTAAAATAAAAATAAAACACTCAAATTAAAACTAGTACTTTATTTAAGAAAACATTTTATATCATAAGTTTTGTTTGTCTTTAAAATCCATGTTTTATGTTTAATTTATTTTCCCTTATTCTCTGGATTCCTGAAATATTTAGTATTTAAAACTCTTAAAATGTTAATATCAATCATAAGTACTTAGAGAAAAATCTATTCCCTTTAAATTCTCCTTATTTACCAAATAACTGTCTGGACAATCTTTGACAATGATCGTGTCTAAAATAACATTCTTTCATTACTTTACTTTCGGTTAGTTTCTAGATTTGGTGTTCTTGCACATTTTTTATAACTCCAGTGTCTACAAACTAACAAATTGTTTTGATTTATTATAATTTGAAAGTTATAATTTGAAATTGATTGCACATCACGTAGGTACTAGATAAGTCTGAATTCTAGCTTTGTTTCACCAAACTTAATGAAAATTGTCTAGGTAAAGCAAAAATGTCCCAATTTTAAAAATATCTTATGTTTGATGTTTATTTTAAAAGTCATATTGTAAATTTTTAAATATAAATTTAAAGTATACACTTACAGAATTATATTCTTACAAACAAACAAAGAAACACACAAACTTTAACATGCATAACATTAGTATAATTCTTGCACAAGGATTTAATTGGTAATTCAACATGAACAACCCCAAATGTTCATATTATTTCCCTAAGGGTTGTTATGAACATGCTCAAAATGTTAAATGTCATAACTAACCAACCTCCTTATACCTTTGTGTATATGGAGCTTTCCCGGCTAGGTCTGAGAGACACGCTGACCAGAAGCACAGAAAACATATTACTATAACCCAGAATGCCAACCGCGTGGTAAAAAGCATTAAGTGTTTTGAGAGAGCTTTGCCTGTCAATCGTAGGCAGCGCCACCAGCGTTGCCATTCACTCAGCATAGCAACGCTGGTGGCGCTGCCTACGATTGACAGGCAAAGCTCTCTCAAAACACTTAATGCTTTTACCATGCGGTTGGCATTCTGGGTTATAGTAGTATGTTTCTGTGCCAGAAGTACCGGTCCTCCATTCATATTGGGGTCAAGCTCAGGGACAACTCTTTTATCTTGTAAAAAAAACTCTTTGTTTTAAAGATTTTTACAATGTTGTATTCTAAACAAAATATAAATAAACTAAGCAATATAGTGTATTGAGAAAAATGTTTTTAACATGTTCATAGTAAATAACAGCAAAGTTAATACCAATGTATTTCATTACCATAAACTTATACCTTCAGCTTTTTTTTATTTTACTCAATTTATACAACTCTAACAACTACAAATTTTGACAAGATTTTGACAGTAATTAGTTATGTGCTCTGTTTCATGCACAAAGTTTTGAAGTAATATTTGTAAAAAAATCAATTGATCAGAAACATGTGCTGGACTTTACTAAAAAATGTGCGAGAACAAGTTGAACGTACTTACTGCTGGATAATGTTAGTTTAGATATCTGCTGATTTCTTGAAATAAGTTATAGGGCTACACGATTACACAAATAAATTACAACTGACTATAGAATGACAGTTGTATTCAACTATTTAAGAGTCACTGGTAAGGTTATGTCTTAACATGCATAACTAAACTTTCTGCCTTTTCTTTTGTTAACTATTCATATTTTGAGCCGTGTAGAATTCATACACTTGATTTATTTCATGAAATTAGTTGTAGTTAGATAGGTTACTCGTAATAGTGACGTTATATCTCGGCATCCAATCACTGAGGACGTGATGTTCATTCCCTCCCAAGTAAGTACAACTAAAAATAAACACAAACTGAAGTCCAACCTGGCTAAAGGACTTTAAATCATTTGGCGCTTTTGTTTCTCCTCTTTTGAAAAAATAAGTCTTTCTCTGAAAAAGCTGCTGTTCAAATTTCATTTATCCTCAGATTTTGTCACTATGATAGCTTATTTTATTTAAATGTTAACGAGGAGACCCGTGCGCAGATTTAATACAGGAATGGGATTTCAATTCAACTTATGTATATAGTCAAAGACTCAAAGTAATTTTGCCTGTAATGTTATTTTTAAGGTTTCTCTTGAAGTTGTCATCGTACAGGTAAATGTTAACCACAAAATTAGCTTTATTATAGAATATTTGAACAAAAAGAGTGTTTTTTTTATAAATATTTTAATTTATTTTTACCTTGACACAAACTTTTGGGAACTGTTTAATGTTTTATTGTTAGTGTAATTATGTTTTATTAAAGATTTTTTATTGGTAAAAACACACTCAATCCCATCCATTAAATATTAAAAATATGTGCTTAACAACTTTTGTGTTTCTTGGAAATAATTCGGATGGTTATTTTCATAAAAATAATCAAGTCAAACGGAAACAAATCATTTTATTTTTGTTTATTGACAGTTTTAGATAGTAAATCTTCTTTAATGTTCAGATAAAAAAAAAAAAACTGCCTCGATTTGATATTTTTGGTCCTGAGATTGTTGGATGCCCAGATATTTTTGTTAGCTGTGTTTACGTATGAGGTGGAGGATAAGTCCATGTTCACAAGTGTGTGTTGTGTTGCAACATGAGATTCACATGGCACGTGTTTGCTCACAAATTACATGGTTGTTTATACCCTTTAGTGAGGATGTACGCTGGTAAAAAATCATCGTCACAGCCTTGAGTGTTGGATCAAGTCAAACTTGTTATTGAAGTTTCTTATCAATCAAATAATTAGTAAAATAAGTAGTCAACTATCAAATATAACTTTCAAATAACTTAAGCGCAGTTTAGTTCCTATTCAGGACTAATATCCTTATATAAAACACAAGAAGTCGTTTTATTGTGGTCGCAACTCCTCCTTAATTTCTCTATAATTTTTTTTACATAGAATTTCAAAAAATTTGTCTTCACTTCAACGTTTTGCAATAAGATTTGATAGTCTATTCTGTGAAGGGCACTGGCAGACCTAAAAGAACTTTTTTTTTGTCCTTACAACTAACATTGAGAACATTTGATGTTAAATTGTTAACAAAGCTTATCCCTTGAATAAAAATGAGCCCTTCAGAAACCACATTGCCTTTAATTGTAATGAAAACAATTTCTGTTGTCGTTAGATTTTTTTTCTCCAATAATTAACGAAACTGAGGAGTTAAATTCACAAAAATATTTGCAGAAAACAATAAGTATATCTGCAATTTACTGTACCCAAATTTATAAAAGTTCTGTATATCTCTAAAAACTGTTGTAACAAATTGTGTTAGGGCACCCCTAGTATTAATAATTAGTTGTTATTTGAAACAAGATCAGAATGCAGAAGAAAGTGATGTTGTTCATTGGTGAGGTTCTGTGCTACTGTCCTGCAGCCATCATCAACTGGATGATAAAAATAAGGATTACTGTGCAAAAATAAGGATCATTGTGCACAAATCTATTATCATCTAGTTGTTGACGGCTTCAGTACAGTTGCAAGATGCAATACCCAAGGGCATCAGCCAATAAAAAGTCATCATTACTACCATATCACTATTACCTAATGCATACAACCTTATTCATCCTGCAACCGAAGAGCTAATATAGCTTGCAAACAGAGCCCAAGACCTGAACATTGGAAATCATATCAATTGACTGGTGGCATTCCCTTTGACATAAAAGAAATCTACTAAAGAGACCGTTGAGAGACTGAAGGTACCGTCCTAGAAACAGCCTGCTATAGAGAATCTGTTGCAGGGTGGCTAGTGACCTGGAAAACCTGGAAATATCAGGGAATATTAAATATCTGGAAAAGTCAGGGAATTTTGTCATAAGTCAGGGAAAATTTTAAAATGTTTAAAATAATTATAATAATTGTTAGGAAAGGTCGATCTGGTGAGAGTACGTATGCCGTGTGAGTGAAAACTAAAAAATATGTCTGTACAAATAAATTTTGTGTTTTTGTACAATAAAATAAAATTTTGTTATAAACTGCATATCATCTTATCAAACTCAGTTTAATTTTATTAAGGCAAGTTGCAAAGTTTGAATATAAGCTAGAGCCTGTCTCTATAGATTTTATGTATTTTTTCATGTAAAAAAACATAAGCTATCTGTCAGACAAAGATTAGTCCTTTTGAAGAATTAGTTAGTATTAAAATTGTAATTTTGAATTTGTTGATCAGGGAAAGTTTAAAAAAATCATGGAATTGTCAGGGAAAAGTCAGGCAATGTGGTTTCACTAGCCACCCTGTGTTGTGAATACAGGACTTATTTCATATCTGCTTATCCTTTAGAAGCTCCACAGTACTTCATTCTCAATATTTGACACAGGAAATGATGTACTTGTAAGTGTGTCTCTTTCCACACTGGACGGATACGTGATCTGCCAATACAATCACTGAGCAGAGCAACTATGTACATATTACCTCTGTCAAGTCCCCAGCACTGATATTTCTTTTTTACGGGAGGAAAAGGAAGCCATATTTGAAATAATGGAGTCTTGTTTACACTATTTAAGTGTAGACCTGGCTCAGTTGTATAAGAAGAACAGCACTGTGATGGCAAAAAGTTTGTTTCTGCTGATTGAACCCAGTCGCATATCTTGTGATTTGCACCCAATACCTATCCCTTCTGACAGTGAGTGAAAGAGCAGATATTAGATTACTCCTCAGACTTTCCTCAAGATACCTTGGAACTAGTATAAATGGTGGTGAAGAGACTAAGGGTATCTTACAAACCAAGTTTCCAAAGCATCAACTCCAAGCACCTGGAGGTGTATTTGTTGCAAGTGCTTCCAGCTAGTTCCAAAACCTGGAAGAGCCCTCGTTTGAAAAGACAGCTCCTGCTGAAAATCTGCAGGTGGTTCACGTTCCAGTGCCATATATTGGGAAGCTCAAGATTCAAGACTTGGGAATTTGGTCCACCGTAGCTAACTATGAGCTCAGAAATTGGGATTCCACTGGCACTTCTAAGAGAGCAATGAGGGCAACACTGTTGATAAAATCAAATTTCAATTATGTGATTTTCAGTTTTATACATTTGATAGTTAAGAAATGTTGCTAAATAATTGCACAAATAGTTTCAATTAACACTATTTTAAAGGACCAGAGTTAATAAATTCAATCAAAATATTCTTACAGTTATTGTTTTTCTGCATCATAAATCTAAAATAAACTAGACATTTTGTTAAATTGTATGGATTTGGTCTTTGATAACATGTTAAGAGTTCTTTATACCAAACATTAGTAATTCTGTAAAAGTTTTAGATCTGGCACATTTTTTATACAAATAAATCAATACAAGAGGATCCTGTTAAATAACCAAAATAAAAATTTTCACAATCATCCTCGCCTGAGATTTTTTCACTGTTTTACATGTTTCTTTTAACATCCGTAATATTCTCTCTGTCAAGGAAATATTATTGTTTGTAAAATATATGTACAATTAATACAAGACTCCACAATTCAAAGGTATTCCTACAAGCTAGCTATTTCCAATTGTCGCCCCCTGTTCTAGCAATAAGTACGTTCAACAGATGTTTAGATGTTTTTGTTGGCCTTACTGTGTGTGACTAACCATGTCTCTGTCTATGTGTTGTATCACTAACACTCTGCCGAGGCTGTCGTCGTGTCAAGCGTAAGTCTCCGCGACATCGCTACAAGACCTCCTGCATGGTTGTGCATGGTTTGTGTGTTATTGTTGCATTCGCCTTTTCAATGTTGCCAAACACATACGTTTACAGGTAGGTCATAAAGTCTCTTACTTAAACAAATTTAATGAATAGCACAAAAAATGTCAAACATCTGGTTGAAACGGTTGACACAGTTACTCAGTTCTTGATGGTGAAAATCTGAGGTTTAAGAACTGAAAACAGTGAAAACTACCAGATTTGGTTCCTCTTCTTCATCTTCAGTTTATTTATCTCCACTCATCCAACAATAATACAACTTTTTACACAAAAACATTTAGGAATTTCACCTCACCCAAAATTTCTTAATAATATTTTTGTCAATAATTGTTTTAAATTCACCCAGTATAAATTCTTAAAGCAACCATCTAAAGTTTCTGAAGCATCCAGATTCTTAAATAAGACAATACCTTTAGAAGAATTTTTACTGGAAATTAAAAAGTGTTGGAGGCATAAAACTGTTGTATAGGGAATATGGTTATGAATTATGATGCAATATAAATGTGCTTTAGCTTTTGTCATAAATCAGAAACGTTGTTTTGATCTTGTGCAAATGATAATAAAAGATAATCTTGGTCATTAAAATTGTTTATTGTAGCAGTAGTTTTTTCTGAGTTCAATGATAAATTTCTTTTGTATCCATTTTGTAACAGAATTTTTAAACTCAATGCATTGTATTAAAAAACATTAAAGTTTGTACCTCGAGCACTAGGTATTGTTAGTTATGAAGGTTAGTGAAAGTTTGATGTTGTTTCCCTCTATTTCTACCTGTCAGGCAGAAAAATGTGCAACTGAAACAATGTGCTCAGGTACGTATTTTGTATAATAATGTGGTTGTACTCTATACATTTTTTGTGTTTTGTTGTGTGATTGTTTTATGTGTATTCGTTGTGTTTCACTGCTATGTTGTTTGCACCTCTGCTTGCTTAAATTAACTTTGGCTATTCTTTGCTTTGTATGTTGCAAGTTTGTATTTTTCCTTGTTTATGTCACTAACATAAGTCTTCATCTAATTATTAGGTATTTCAGTATGATATTGTTAAGTAGCTTTCAAATCACATGTTTTGATTAAAATTGTCATTTTAACACTGAACAAATTTATCATAGGAGTTAATTTTATTGGTTGCTTAGATTATTTTTTTATACAGCTTTTTGTTAACATACTTTGTTAGAGTTAAACCATAGGCTAACCAACACAAGTAGACTTCTCATCCCATTGTAAATTTTTATTAAGCTTGTTTTTCGTGTCAAGTTCAGTGTCACGATTTCTATAGTTAGGCCGCTTAGAAAGCGACCTCCCCTAGCATTGGTTAGCAGTAGCGCGCAGGTTGATTTCTAAGCGGCCTAACTATAGTGTTGACAAAATGTAGTTTTTATTATTTTAGGATTAATTTAATGATTAGTGCTTAACTGTTAGGTTATACAACTAGGGGGCAAGTTATTTTTTACGATTAGATCGTTTTATTTGTTTAAACAAAGTTTTAAATAACTGAAATAACAAGAAACAAATTGTATACAAAACACGACCCCTACAGTGCACTGACTAACAATAAACTTGTCTTCAGCTGATCCATAAGGATGAGAAATCTACTAAGGGATGTTTTACCTATGGTTTAACTAAATGTGACAAACAAACAAAAATTAAGAAATCATATTTTTTCACGGTTATCATTTTCAATTATTTTTCCCCCCAAATATTTTTTTCTTTGTCTTTCAAAGGCACATTGTTATTTAAGAGTAAATTTGTAATTACATCTACATTTCCTGCAGTTTAAAAAATGTGTGAGTAGATGATTTTTTTCTAGATATTTTAAAAAGCAAAGAAACAACTTGTTAATCTCTATCGTGTTGGCAGAACCGTGAGGAGAGACGAGATTTCCACCGCATGGACTCTTCTCCTGGACAATTGGCAACACCTGGCTCCCGCACAAGCTCCGTTTTGCCCGACCTTCTCACACAGGTGGGTACTTGGCAAAACAACTCACCTTGTTGATATTGTATTGTGATTCAGTAGCAGATAACAGATAACTAGTCAAAGTATTAGATCAAGCAATGAAGATGGGAAGTTGAACTATGTTTGTACACTACACCTCTCTTAACTGCCCCTCAAGAGTTCGGGCCTAAGTCAAATAACTTAAAAGGCCAGTTGAAACGGACAACTATGTAAAAATGTAAAATACCAAAGAAGTAAATGTATTATTATTATTGATTTTATTTCTCAAAAATCTCAGCTGTTAACATTAATTTTGAGTCTGCAAAGTTTTCTTATAATAGTATATTTCGTACCTAGGGTCGAAAATGAGGTTTTGCCAGCTCGAAATAGTTTTTAAGTTCAAGATGAAGTTGAGAACTTAAAACGATCGAGGGCTGCAAAACCATTTCGGTCCGTGATATGAACGCTATTTTTCACCACACTATACCCTATTACCACTATTCACCACAATAATAATGCACACTGACAGTCAAAACAACTTCAACTTTAAGGATATGTGAAGAAATAATTTGAGGAATCAGCAAAAATAATAATAAATAGTTGCCAGGCAGTGCTGACAATAAAACAATTCTAACGAGACGTTACCAACAGGAACACCCCCCACCACTGTGCCGTGCTGAACGCTTCTGAATTATTCGAGCATAGCCGAACTGTAACTTTCAGCCACCAATTAACTTATGTAAAACTGCTAAAAACAGTGTGGTGAAAAATATATTGTACTCAAGCAACAATGAAAGTATGCCTGGTGATTGTGTTGGTAAAGTAACTGACAATTTAGAGTGTATATTTACTTTTTAAATAGTGTAAAGTGTATATTAACTTTGTCCAAGGAGAAGGACCAAGGAAATGTTGTTTTGGAGCTATTGGCACATGAAAACCCTATTGAAACCATAAAATATAAAACTAAGCAACACCTACCCACTCAGCCAAAAGTCTCCTTTCGCACTAACTATTGTTGTTAATTGTTTTTTTTTAAGAAGGGAGGGATATTGGATAGATACTACTTACTATAGGAGCTGATGGACTGTGTATCTTTAATTGAACCTACATTCATGTATTGGTACTCACTGTCATGCTACATAGAGTTACAGTAAACCCTCTCTTATCCGGATCTCCCATATCCGGACCCTCCGATATCCGGACGCGATTTTGAAAAAATGCAAAAATTAAAAAAACACTCTAGGGCGAATGTTTGTTGACTGAGCAGTCGCTGTTTGTAGGCCGGTTAGAAACGCTGGCGCGCCGGGAGGGTTGTGCGACGTGCAGTCTCGCGGGCAAGGTCACTGACTCACGAAACAAAAATAGAATCCCTCTCCCACCCCTCCTACCCGCCCCTCCTACCCATGCCAACGCCCTACTCATGCGCGGCGACGACAATTCATCACTTGTGTCAGTTGTCAGTGCTGCTTTTTTTTTGCCTCAGTGACCTAGTCTTTGTTTGTACGGTTCGTTTTAGTTTCGGGAAGCTAGTGCTAGAGGCGAATAAGTTGTTATGGCTGAAAAAAGAAAAAAGATTGTCATTACGATGGAGGACAAACTTAACACGTTGAAACGTTTGCAAGCGGGAGAAAGTGCAAAAAAGATAGCGAGTGAGATGGGAGTGGGGACTAGTACAGTGAGTGACTGGAAAAAATCCCGTGAAAAAATAGAAAAATGGTGTTCTAACCAGGCATCAAGTTCAGGAATAAAAAAGTGCAAAATGATGAAAACAGCCGTGAATGACAAAGTGAACGAAGCGTTATTTTTGTGGTTTACACAATGTAGATCAAAAGGACTGCCCGTGTCTGGACCCATTTTGCAGGAAAAAGCTCTCCAATTTAATAAGGAAATCGGAAATGATCCCAATTTCAAAGCCAGTGAGGGGTGGTTGGAAAAGTGGAAGAATCGATATGGGGTCAGAAAGCTTCATATAAGCGGAGAAAAGTTGTCAGCAAATGAAAACGCTGTGGGAGAGTTTAAACTGTTTTTACACAAGCTGCTTGACGAGGAAGGAATCAGCGGGGACCAGTTATACAACTGTGACGAAAGTGGTCTGAACTTTAAAATGCTACCTAGCTGCACTCTCGCTTCCAAGGAAGAAAATAGCGCTCCAGGCTATAAGAAGAAAAAGAAGAGGGTTACAATAATGGCCTGCAGCAACGTCACAGGGAACAATAAACTCAAACTCTGCATGATTGGAAAATCAAATAAACCACGAGCGTTTAAAAACTTCAAAGATCAGTCGACATTACCGGTGTGGTACAGAGGTCAAAAAAGCGCTTGGATGAATTCTGCGATCTTCAGAGAGTGGTTTAACAATCAGTTCGTCCCGTCTGTTGAAAAGTTTGCTGAAAAAAACAATTTGCCAAAGAAGGCTATTTTATTGCTTGACAACGCCCCATCACACCCGTCTGCAGATGAACTAACAAGTGGAGAAATAAAGTGCGTGTTTTTGCCGCCGAACGTAACCTCTTTGTGCCAGCCAATGGATCAGGGGGTCCTTGAAACACTTAAACGTTTGTATCAACGTAAGCTACTGACGATCATTATTGAGGGCATGGATGTGGGAAAGAGTGTTTCTGAGTGCCTTAAAGACACTGACATGCTAGATGTTGCCTTGTGGATTTCTAGCGCTTGGGAAGAGCTCAAACCGATAACGTTGGTTAAATCGTGGAAAAAGCTTTTAGACCACAAAGTAGACCAAGATATAACAAGATATAACAAAGAAGTAGAAAAAGAAACAGAAAACTGCAATGACAAAACAGGTGAAGAAATCGTTCAACTTTTTAGAAACGTTCCTGGTTGTGACAACATAGACAGTGACGCAGTGAGTGAGTGGATGAAGGAAGACGAAATCCAGGAGTTTACTGACAATGACATCATAGACTTAGTTAACGCAGACCCCGCTCCTGACGACGACGACGAAGAAGAAGAAATCCAGAAAACAACCATGACGCATAGTGAGGCTTTCCAGGCAATCGAACAGCTGATCGACTATGTCGAGAAACAAGAAGAAGCAACGGGAGCCGATCTTCTGCTTTTTCGTAGGTGGAGAGACATTACGTCAAAGAAACGTGTTAATCGAGCCAAACAAGCCACAATAACATCGTTTTTGTCCAAAACTTAACTGTGAGTACAAAGTAAGAGCTGTTCTCGTGGATTAATTTTATTTTACTCTGTATCCAGCTCTGCATTTTTGTTCATTACAGTAGGCCTACTTGTCTTTTTCTTTGTTCCATTTCATTTTTTCACTGTACCGTTTCTGTATTACGTAATATTTTTTGAGTTTTGATGTTATATTAAAGTGTTTTTCTCAGTTTTATTTCATTTTTTTCACTGTACTGTACTGTATTACGTAATATTTTTTGAGTTTTGATGTTGTATTAAAGTGTTATTATAACCAAAATACCGTTGTTTTATTTAATAAACAAACGTTTCCGTATTTAAGGCCTACTAAAATTGAGTACCGTAGTTGTTGTACAGCTGTTTTCTCATCTAAAACAATGTTTCTCTCATATCCGGATTTTTTGTTATCCGGATCGGCCGGCGCCACATTAGTCCGGATATGAGAGGGTTTACTGTATTATTTTGTATTGTCTCTGGAATATTTTGATGTAATTAGGAGATACAATTAATCAAGGACCGTTTGTGTTTCAGACATCATCATCGCCCGGAACGCCAAACCAACGACAGGACAAATCCACCAGCGAGGAGGTGCGTAAATACATCATAACTTCATACTTGAGCTTCTCATATAATTTTAGAATTTCTTAAAATATTGTGTTTCTTAACTGTTTTTTCTAATGGTGTTTTTTTGTGATTTTAAAGTAACATTGGTAGAAAGTATGAATTTCAAAAATAATCAAACAATCATCTAAAATACTTTATTTTATTATTTTATCTGTGTAGGTTAATTATATTTTATTTTTGTCTTATATAAAATGAGAGGGATCTTATGTTAAAACATTGTACTGTAAATATTTCTTTGTTTCATGTACAGCTTTATCCCGCTTTACCATGTTTATTTTTTGACCTTGGTTATTCTAATCTAAGGTAATTCATATTTTGTTTCTGTTCAAAAAATTGAAAAAATTAAAATTATTATTTAAATGATTGTATTTAGAGAAAACAAACTTTCATTGGTAACAATTTTTTTTTTTTAAATGAGAAACTCTCTGAGCTAATGCTTTACAATACTATGAAGCTATTTGTTTTATGCTTGGCACTTGCTTCTTCATGCCTATATCATTCAATATTGCTAATTGATTAAAATATTTACCAAATAAAAAAAACCAAATTGCTTATGATATCTTTAATCAGCTTAGTTCATAACGTTTTTAAGTTATCAGAGATAATTTATTATTGTAAATAGTTTTAACTTCCTTTTGCTCCTAGCTGGCTACAATTTCCTTACTGCCACAGTGTCCCCAAGATATTAAAGGTTGAAATATAATTTTATTGTTTTATGTAAAAATACAATCTACAGGGAACACAAAGTCAACTGTGCTATTGTTATAAGAAATTTGAGAAGATAATTAAATTAGAAATCCAGAACGGTACCTATTTATTACAGAGGATTTCTGTTATGTGTTAAAAAAATTCCGAAATTTTTTAATCCCTTAAGAAAAACTGTACGTAATGAATTTTCAAGTTTTCATATTCCTTATTTTAAATTATCAGTTAAATTTTGATTCCCTAGATAACTATTTTTTATGAATAAATAATCTCTTTAAAAGTTGTTGCATCCGCATATTGCTGACATCTATCAACTGCATGTAGTAACATTGCTGCCGATTCACGATGTGTACTGCTCCATTTGATTTTATGGATTATGTGTATAGTCAATGCTATAACACGTTGATTCATCTGTATCTCTTATAAATACAACACAAAATCTTGTTAAATAACTGGAAAACAGTGAAATTTATTGTAAAGCTTTAGTGGAGATTCTGGAATAATGAGAAACACAACTCATTTGGATTTTTCAAGTTCACAAAACATTTCAACCGATCATTAGCGATGTAAGAACAAATTATAAACAAACGTGGTGATAGTAACGGAGGTTGTAGCCAGACGTAACCAAGTGTTGAGGTATTGTACTAATGTTATGTTGTTGTGCGGCGGCCATCTAACTCGGAGGTGTTCCTACATTATGTTGTAAGTATCTCCCTCTTTAGCATCTAGCCGTTGTTGCTTGGTGTTGCGGTAGCTCTCATCTCATCTGTTGATCACTCTTCACCTCGGCTTGCTAACGTAGAGGGGTTGCATGGTACACGGTAGTGTCGTAAGAATCACTCGTCTCATTCCAATGTTAGGTGCTCATGGTAACGTAACGACTGCTGAGTTTACATAGACAAAATCTTGTTGTTTTAGTTTTGTTCAAGTAAATTATAGAATAAGGAATAAAGCGGCAAGATTACCTTGAAAAAGTTATGGTAGGCCAAAGAACACACAGAGGTATTAGGGTATATATGCGTTTTATATTCATTTTTGACAACAAAATCTTGATCACCCCTAGCATTTGTTGTAACATGATTTATGATGATCTTCTGTAATAAATTTGACATCATGGTAATAACTTATTACAGTTTTTTTTACCTGGCTTTTCTTTTGTTGCAGAAATATTGTGATTTTTTTATTGCCTAGACATAGCATATAACTTCCGTGATCACAATGGAATTGCGAGATTACCTACCCTAAACTCTCCCATCAAAGACTGAAAAAAAATTTTCAAGCTATTTACTGAATTTTTGAATCCACAACATCTCTATTTTAAAATCAATCGAATAAAAAATTCCTAACTTTTTCTGTCAAGAATTTGATAAATCTTACCATTAGTAAACCTGTTTGTTTTTAGTGTATTCTAATTTGGTCTAAAATCGGAATCGTATGAGGGATTAAAGTAACCATTTTCGTGTAAAAAATGACAAAAATTCATAATCAGTCCATCACTAGCTAGAAAACTTAATTACATCACCAGTGTATTTTTTAAATAGGAATATTGTTGGCCTACAATTCTATCCATATTCATCATAGACAATAGATTGCCATGCATATTTTCATTCCATCCAGTCCATAATGGCTAGGCCTAACTCATAAATGTAAACAAGGAACTAGTTTTATTATGTGCAAAAAAAAAACATTTTTCTTTTTGAAGATTTTTGTAAGTTTATGCTTAAATGGAAAGTTGAAAATTTACTAATTTCTCTGGTTATTGTATTTCTTTGTCATGGTCTTTTTCATATTAATTTCATTAATATTTGATAAATTCCATAGTTTTCTACTAAACTTTTACTAGGATTCAACAAATATCAACCTCATACCATCATAGATGTTGTTTCTAGCTTTTGGTGGTTGTATTTATTGTTTATATTTAATTTGAAATGTTTTTGTTAATTGGAAATTATTTTGATCATGTGACCACTTAGATGAATTTGTTTATTTTTCCATACTTTAATACTATGCAAGTTGCTAGTTATTACTTTTATGTTATTTTTGTGATACATTTACAAGTTTGCACATTGTAGAATATTGTAAGGTTGAATTAAAATTAGTGAATTATTTTAATCCTTTTTAGAAGACAAGTAGGCTAACATTTTATTTTCATTATTAACCCTCTAGTACACGCGCCGCAATAAGTGAATCCGCAAGCGAATGACATGACGCCCAATCGACCTTCCCCCACTACCTTACTAAAGACAATGGCGGTGTTTTGACTGTCTTAGCGTCAGTTGGCCCTGAGCTACGAGGGTGTAAAGTTAAAGGTATAAAAAGTATACTCGGAATGTTAGTCCTTGCGTGTGTACTGGTGTAACTATTAGTGGCGCATGTACTGGAGGGTTAATAAAAATATCTCTTTTTGACACTCTTTTATTTGAACTCTACTACTTATCTCTGTTGTAATTAGTTGGAAAATTAAATGCACTCATTTGTCAAAATCGTGGTTAGTTTTGAAATATGTGTTGTATTAAACTTTTTCTAATTTGTGTTCATCTATCTGTAGAAATCAAAACAATTTTTTATGTGTCTGGTCTGACCTTTCTTTTATGTGATAAATTTCACTAACTTAATGGCCTATAAAATCCTAATACTGTTTCTATATATAGGACAATATGTATAGTTACAATCGGTTTTTGAACAAAAATTGTACTTAAGGAACCTGAAGAACTTAATAATTCAAAAAATATATCTCTCTGGGAAAAGGGGGCAGGTTTTTAATTTAGAGAAATGATAAATAAGTTTTCTTCCATACAATTTGTTAAAAAAATTATACTTTGGCTTATGGCTAAAAAAATCAGCATTCAAAATCCTAATAGTCAGTTTGATGTAATTTTCAATTATCTTACTTCATTTACTATGTTGTATTCAGTCAGGTTAGACAAAGTCAAACCAGTTTCATATCAGATGAAATACATGGATCAAGATAATTGCAAATTAAGTTCATTCTTTATATGATACACTAATCTTACCTAACTTGATAACATTTATTACAAAAAGTTAGAGGCGTCAAGATAGTTGTAGTTGAAAAGTACCCAGTTTTTAAATTTATTTTTGCTTCACTGTGAATATTAAACAAACTGCATTTCAATACTTAAAAAAGTTTCAACTACCCGACAAAAATATTTTTAAATTTATTTAAGTTTGTGAAATTATCCATCCCCTGTATACTGTGTTCCAATTCTTCGCATATTTTGTAAGTTATATAAGAAAAAGTGTTCAAAAAGAAAAACACATTTTCCAATGTCTCTAGGGTAAACAAACTACTGAATGCTTTTGTTTGATTATATTCCACTCTCATCCTCGTCAGTTCCGATCAAACTAAACCTCACGTTAACCTTGTTTGTAAATTAATAAATCGTCTTGTAATAAATTGTAATTGTTGCAGTATCGGCAAGCTGTAAATAAGCCGGCTGGTTATTCCCTACAGAAGCAGCGTTCGTTCCTGACGTTTGGCTTCAGCGCTGGACAGTCTCGACGGGAGAGCCATGTCAATGTCAACGTCACTCCTACGTCACACGACCTCGCCTCTGACACTCCTGAGATACGCAAGTACAAGAAACGCTTCAACTCTGAGATCCTGTGTGCTGCTCTGTGGGGTAAGATGGCGATCTTACCTTATGCTTTATGCTTCACTTTAATAATTAAAATCCTAGATTGATTGATTCTGAATTAATTTGCAAGATTGTCATTGGGCTATGATCAACAATTAGCAATGCTATTTAATAATTAGTCAACAGTAAGTAGTAAAAAAACTATGGTTCGTACTGCTGCAATGGTGAAAAAAATTCCAATGGCGATGTTACCCAATGGCCGCAGATATTGTTTGATATACAATTCCTTAAAAATTGAGCTTTCTCTGCATTTATGAACTAAGTTTATAAGATGGAAGAATCAGTGTCAGCAGTAATAAAACAATTTAAGATACTAATTACACAACATCTGTTCAGGTAGGAGTGTGCGTATGAAGCACGTAGTTGGGGCTATAAAATAATAATTTGCGCACCAGTCTAGAATGAATTACAAAGATCTTTTCTATCATGTTTATAATAAATTTTATGGCTTAAGATATTACTATGAAAATATGCTAAGATATTACTATGAAAATATGCTAAGATATTACTAGGAAAATATTGACCATGGATTAACATATTAATTTTGTCATACAAATTTTGTTCTTCGCATTTTATGTCAATTAAGTAAAACCTAAAACTTAACAAACAATAAAAGTTAACCAAATATTTAATTTTAGTTTGTCTTTGGTCCAAGAATTATACCTTACAATGTGAGTAGAGAACTCGGGGGCACTGTGTATGTTTTCTTCTGATTTTAATAAACTGAACCATTTTGTGTCTCCAGGTGTGAACCTCCTGATTGGCACGGAGACGGGCCTGATGCTGTTGGACCGAAGTGGCCAAGGCAAGGTGTACCAACTAATCTCTCGTCGCAGGTTCCAACAGATGGAAGTACTGGAGGGCCAGAACATCTTGGTCACAGTCAGTGGCAAGAAGAACAGAGTGCGCGTTTACTACCTGTCTTGGCTTAAGAGCAAGATCCTGCGCACCGATGGTGTCAGTGATGTATGTAATTCTATTGGCTTCCTCATAGTAGTAGAGGATTAGTTATAGAGATGTATTATCTATCTCTTTTATACCGGCCAAATCCTGAACATCTTCTACTATCACACAGACATTGTGATCATATCGTGCAATCGTATTGACATTTTCGATTGCACAATCTTCAGATACTTTCTGTGTTAAGATCAATCTGCATAATTATCCCTTCAAGTTTGGGAGCAATACGAGATGCTGCTAAGCTCATTTCAATAGATGACATGTGCAGAAAGCTGACCTGCTGCCTGGTCCACAAAGTGCTCACGCTGGGAGAGCCTCATTACCTCAGCGAGAGGCTCAAGTAGAGGGAGGAGATCTGTCATCGTAGTACTCGCTCCGACTGTAAGGCTTCACTTTCCTAAAGTGAGGCTTGAGGTTGGAAGAAGGTCTTTTTCTTATTTCGACCCGCGGTTTTACAATGGCCTCCCTCAAGTGATTTAAGAGCTCAAAACCATATAGCCCATAATGAAAAAAACAAATATAAAATTTATATTGTAAATTTATTTTGTAGACATTTTTGTATATTCTTATGTAAATATATTACTCGCTTGTAAATAAAGGCCTTTTTATTAATTTATTTGTGCTGAGTCGTAAAATGCAACCACACCCTAACTATTATTCTCTGGCCTAGTGTGGGAAATGCAGATTTCATTGATTGGATGTGTTTTAGTGCATATAGAGTAGTTACTACCAGGATTTTGATCAAGGACATTTGTGTGAAGACCTGCGCTTGTAGAAAATAAGTGTATTTCCTGTTACAGCAAGTAGAGAGGAGGAACGGATGGATCAACGTAGGAGATCTCCAAGGCGCTGTCCACTTCAGGATCGTCAAGTATGAACGTATCAAGTTCCTGGTCATCGCACTGAAGGACAGTATCGAGATCTACGCCTGGGCCCCCAAACCTTACCACAAGTTTATGGCATTCAAGGTTTGATAAATATGTGCTGTTTATTTGATTTTATGTTAAAAAGTTGTTTTTGAGCCAACAATTTTTTTCTACTAAACTTTTAACAACAAAAACATGATTTTAAAGAATTCAGATTTTTGTATTCAAAAAGTGAAAGAAAACTTACTATGAAAAAATTGTTATTTCCAAACCAGGCCTATTAAATACTAAATAAAAATATTTTGAATGGTTCCTGTAATAAGTGAATAAAGAATTTGAATTGATTTTATTAGGTACTAGCAGAGTACCCTTTCTTCGTACGGGGTTGGCAAATAAGTATAAAATGCTTATTGCAGTTATACCTGATCTTTGCGTTTGCGATGTGAGAAAACACGGTTTGAGAAAATTTGCTTCCTCAAATTTACCGTATGCGATAGTATTACACATCTACCATAGCCATAATGTTCTACTATACTTCACCTACACAATAGAGAAAGATAGATTATTAACAATTCTCAAAATATCATAAATTATTCATGAAATTAAAAACATAAACATAACTGTTAACAATCCTACTTTGACAGTTCTCATTGTGTATGCTTTTGCATATTATAGAACCAACTCTTTTAGTTGAAACAGCTGGCTAAATTCTTTAATTCCCTTTAAATATGAATACTCATAAGGTTAACATGGAGAACTGCAGAGCCACTGGGGCAGAGCCCAAAAGGATTTTTGAGATAAGAATATGCCTATATGTTAATCGTGAATGTGAGCTATCATCATGCCAAATTTCAGCCCAATCCGACCAGTATTTTTCGTGTTTACTTGTCACAAACATACATCCAAACTTTCTCTTTTTTAATATTAGTAGGATTAGTAGGATAAATTTGATCGTCTTTGAAATTAATAAGATAAACTGTGGTTTTAAATAGTTAAACTAATCACTTTTAATTTATCGAATTAAATTTTTTTTAATACCAAGCTTATGTTTTACAGACATTTGGGGAGCTGACGTACCGACCACTGTTGGTAGACCTGACGGTAGAAGAAGGAACGAGACTGAAAGTAATTTACGGATCTGCTGACGGGTTTCATGCTGTTGACCTCGACTCTGCATCTGTTTACGATATCTACCTGCCAAAACATGTAAGTAACTGGGATACACATTTAGACCAAGTTTTTAAAAATAGTACAAACAATAATTAAATATTGTTGTACACACTGTTATTATTATTTACAGTTTTAAATATTGGAGTAAGTTCTGACATTAATGCTTGCAAATCAAGGAACAATGTTGTCATCAAAACCATATCTAACCTACAAATCTTGACTCCTGCTGAAAAAAATGGTAGAGTTTCTATTACAATTGTCAATTCAAAAGTGTGACTTTTCCATTTTGGAGCCCTTTATATTGCCAAAATTAACAAATTGGAATTTTCTGATGGTTTGAATTATTTTACTGATTCCTTAGTGTTAAACTTGTATGGTTGTCGTAGACATAAGAGTTACTTGAAACTATTTTACGGTTAGACATTTTTTGGCTATCGGTTAATGTCTTTGTCATTTACAGACTCAGGGACCTATTTCACCTCATTGTATCGTGGCTCTGCCCAACTCCAACGGCATGCAGTTGCTCTTGTGTTACGACAATGAGGGCGTCTATGTTAACACTTACGGCAAGGTATGTTTCACTCACAGCTATTGTACATTCAGATTTGTATGTATCGGCTTTATTATCTTAAAATATTGTTAATGTTTTTAGGGGAATGTGAACTGTTTATCTTGTCTTCAATATCTTGCCAGTTTAGAAACAGTTTTGTGGTATCGGTATAATGCTGCTAACTTGGTGTCTATTGACTCAGACTTTGGTACAAAATGTGACAAGTTTGATCCTTGGAATATCCCAAAAAATTTGAGGGGTTTGGACTTTTTTTCTTAAAAGTAATTCAATGGGTGTTAATAACAAAATGCCACTGCCACATGCACTAAAAAAGGCTTGTCCCTAAAACCAACAGAGGAATGTTTAAGTCGTCGAAGGTAGAGCTAATGTTTTTGAGGTTAGGAGTATTTGTTTGAAGGTATCTTTATCTACACCTCACTCTACTCCAAACTACTCTACAGTTATTACAAAGTGCTATTTTTTGCTATTTTAAAATCTTTGTAACTAAACTTTGTGTTTCCACTACTTGATGTGTAGGTGTCGAAGAACATAGTGCTGCAGTGGGGAGAGATGCCCACGTCAGTTGCTTACATCGGCACAGGTCAGATCATGGGCTGGGGCAACAAGGCTATCGAGATACGTAGTGTAGAGACTGGCCACCTAGACGGAGTGTTTATGCACAAGAAAGCACAAAGGCTCAAGTTCCTTTGTGAGAGAAATGACAAGGTGTGTATGGGTTATTGTTATTAACTTGTTTTTCTTTTAAATTAGACCAAACAGATCATCTCTATAGGACCCTACATGTCCATTGGCTCAGAACTCAAAAAAAAAACTTTGGTCTACCAGAAAAAGGCAATTTTGATATAAGTAATAAGTCAAACACTATTAACATTGAAATAGTTAATAGGACTGAAATTAATGTACAATATTGTTATTAATGTCTAAGCACAGAATAAGCGTAAATATATGTTTTAAGTGTTATAACGACGTTTCTTTTATTTACTTTCCGTAAATTTAATAACACTTACAATGCTGATCAAGAAGTTATTTAAAAAATCTATGTAAACTTACCCATACAGAAGAATAAATTTTCTGTGATACTATTAGGTTATCTGTTAAAGTAGGTAAACCCCTTAAATTTTGGACACTGAATTTTGCATCATGCGAACAGCATGTTTGTATGTTTTAATACAAATTTATCTGTGTAAATTTTTTCACATAAACTTGCACACAATCCTTGATTCCATATGCTTTATAAAGATGGGCTGTAACTCAAATGACTGATTTTTTGTTTCAGGTGTTCTTTTCGTCAGCAAAAGGTGGTTCATCTTGCCAGATCTACTTCATGACCCTCAACAAGCCTGGCATGGCCAACTGGTGATATCCCGAAGGTAGGTAAATAAATCTGTCACCACAGCTCTGATCAATTTTACTGAATCAATTATAGAATCAATAGACAAAAAAGAAAGTGTTGCTGGTATTTTCATGGACCTTTCCAAAGCATTTGATAGTATATCACATGAAAGGCTGTTACAAAAATTACATCATCTTGGGATTCAAAAAACTCCTTTGCAGTGGTTCAGGTCATATCTCACCAACAGGCAGCAATTTACAGAAATCAGTCATATAAACAACGCTATAATTTCAAAAATTCCCTCCGCAACACAAAGTATAAAGCATGGTGTCCCGCAAGGGTCTATTCTTGGACCCTTGCTTTTCATTTGTTATGTTAAGAATATGCCAAACTGTCTATGTAACAATGTAATATATAATTCTAAACTCGTACAGTATGCTGACGATTCTAATCTTATTGTATCTGCTAAATGTCAGATTGATTTGGAAGTAGCAGCTCATATAGAATTATCACAAATCCAAGAATTTTTTGTAAACAATCAATTAATGCTAAATTCACAAAAAACTAATTTTATTTCTTTCAGCACTAAGCAGAACAAAAATAAGTGTAGCCCTCATATTTTTATTGACAAAAACACAATAAATCAAATTGATTGTACAAAATTTTTAGGTATCCATATTGATGAATGTCTTAGGTGGGATCATCATGTAGGAAGCATTGTGCGTAAGGTAAATTCTGGAATCTATGCCTTGAAAAGAATGTTTTATTTAAGTGACCTAGCAACATTAAAAATAGTTTTTCATGCCCATATCCAATCACATTTCTTATGCAATAGTAGTGTATGGAGGCACTTCCCAGAAAAATTTAGATAAGATACTTGTTTTACAGAAAAAGGCAATAAGAATAATGTTAAATCTAGATTATAACGAGTCTGTAAAGCAACATTTTGTCAATTTGAAACTATTAACTGGAATGTATCGTACATGTAAAAAATAACCAGGAAAAATTTAAAACGCATTGTGAAACCCATCAATACAACACTAGAAACAAAAATAATATAGTTCTACCGAAACCCAACTTAGAAATGTATAAAAATAAGCCCTCATATGCCGGTGTACAGTTTTTAAAGTTAATACCAAATGAAATAAAAGATATTAAGGATAAAAAAAAGTTTAGACAAAAACTTAAAGAATTTTTGATAGAAAAACCCATCTACTCAATAGATGAACTTTTTATGAATGTACACAGCTATAGATAGTTTTATTTTCTGTATTTTTTGTTTAGGTTAAGTATTTGTACATAGTAATTATAAGCTCGACACTATTTATTGTACGTTTTGTACATAATATAAATAAAGATAATTTGAATTTGAATTTGAATTAGGTCTTAGATTGATAAACCATGATGGGGGACAGTAAGCGTTTACAGGGAGAATAGTTATGTATGAAGTTGAGGTTCAATTTTAGAATAGTGGCAATCGTCATAAACTTAAGTAAAAACAGATAATGTGTCGATACAAAAATTTATCTTGTCTCGATGCTGATTCTTGAAAAATTGATACAACATTTTTCTTTTCTATTGTTTTACCAATTACTGAATGGATTGGTTATACAACACCAACCCCTGTCTTCTTTTTCTTCCATAAAGTATTTTTGAGGTACTGGGATGCTTATCAAGTTCAGAAAAAATTAATGCAGCAATAAAGTACTCTGACTAGTCAATTTAAGTCTAAACCCATTCAATAGTTACCATATTAATTACCATTGAAAATTTTGTTAACACGAATAATTACTCTGAACTCTATTGGCCTCTAGTAGGAAGCCTGCATGACCAAAACTCTTTTTACAAATTACTTGAATATTTACAAACTGTTTAGTTTGTTTAAGTTTTTATAAATTTGTGTAAGAGCATTCCATCTTACCATCTTAGAATTTTAAATTTAAATATTAGGCCTATATAATGATGTATATGATATAATAATGTCAAAATAATGGTCCTATAGAAAATAATCATATTCTTCCATGATTGCGGAAAAATTTTAACCTTCTCCTGAGGGCCGCAGCTGTCTGTAGACATTATTATCACTTTTGCTGTCTTATCATTGTCCCGCGATCAGCACAAAATCTAAATATCCCTTACGGTAACAGAAACATCATTGTCTTTCACGATCGCCGCAAATTCATTATAATTTGTTTGTCTTGTAGATACCATCATTGAGTCATGCGGTCACGGAAATGCCATTGTTCATGAACATCTCCCGCAGTCGTGGATTACTTATTCCATTTTGTTGTTTTATTATCATTATCAGGGAGTCCACATTAAATTGAGATAACTTTATAGAACAAAATCTATGGTCCTCCGGAATGATTGTAAGGTTTTTTTTTTTTTATTAGCAAGAGGGATATAGATATAGATTCGCTTTATGTCAAAAACAGGAAACTTTTTAACCCAAAGACCACATTCAAATTTTCCCTATTTTAGGTCTAACTAAAATGTATTTGTTTTTGGTTTTATTATTTCTTAACCTAAACTATTTGTGGTTGACAGGTGATTTTGATTAGTGCAGTACATCCATGGGAGGACATCTTGTTAGCTGTGTCACTGTTGCTGTGGTTGAGTGTTTAGTTAGTCATGTTGTCAGATCGGCCGTTACCTTACCACGATTTATAACAGTAATTGGACTAGTTTGTTTAAACATAATCGGTTTCCCATTATCTGAGCAGTTTCTTTGTGAGTAAAAAAGTCTCCTAAAATTTGTTTTCATCAAAATCAGTGCAACTCGATGTCTTTGCTTTAATTTAAAGTTCTTTGATGTTTTTACTTAAAACACCCAAAGAGTCTTGTTTACCTTTATTTCCTTCCTAAGTATTGATCTAATATTTTTAAGTGAAAGGATATAAAAGAGAACTGAACTTCCTTAGAACTTTTCGCTGTGATTGTGTCTTGTTTCGTCTGAGGTAAGTGGCTGATGGACTGGCTGGCGATAGTGGCTGATAATTTTGTTTGTAACCTACCAATCTCAAGGACAACTCAACTTTTGTGATACACCGCACTCAGTCTCAACACAGATTTTGATGGTGCAATTTTTATCGGCTATTAGGTTTAGTATTTGTAAACGACTGTATAGATGTAGATCTCGTCAGTTTTGTGTTTGGAATTTTGTTTAGTATTTTCTCATCTTTAAGAAAAGAGTATTGTAAAGTTTCTGAAACCTACAATACTGACACTTTTTACATAGACAACTTTGGATTTGTTTATATCATTCCTGTTTTTTAATCGACATTTTGTATCTTTTGCAAACAAACAGATTATGCCGTTTACCCACGTTTTTCTTTTAGTATTTTATTGTTGATTGTGGCTTAAGTTTTGTAAGTTGTGGCTTACTTCAAGACAGATATGATCTATGGAAACACAAAGAGAATTGTCACTGTTAATTTCAAATATTTCACGAGTAAATTATAACGCATTCATATTCTGAATTTGTGCCCTAACTGAATATTGTTTAAACTCGATGATTGATCTATTCAAGAAATTGGTCACAGTCAAGCAATACAAAAAAAGTGTTGTAACTAAATTAAATGGTATCCATCATAAATACTTTATTAAGTGTTGCCCTCTTTTTTCATAATTTGTTGTGATAGGAAAAGTTATTAGTGTAGTAGTATTTCAAATTCATTTGGTTTTTCTTTTGTGACCAATCTTTAACTATTTAGTTTATTTTCAATTTATAATTGTCATTGAAAACCACTAAACATATTCCAAGTGCAAATCATTAGGTAAGCACACACATACATATTTAACTACTGTTTGTTGAAAATATATTGTTTGGATTTGGTCAAAAACACGAATAGTCCATCATATCTTGTCGCTACAACTTAGTAGTTTTTTATAGTTTTATATTGTCTTATTAATAATTATAAATTGTGTTATCGCACTAATATTTAACGTTGACTTGACCAATTTAACATTTTGTATTGAATACTCCAAGTTTGTGTTTTTGGCCTTATGTTTGTTTATGTAATATGTTAGTCTTTCTGATAATGTTATTATATAATTTATGTTTACACTCCTTATTTATGTAAATACAATTATAGCTATATTTGATTTCTAAAATATTTTTGTTATTCTCATATTTTTATCTTTGTTAGTAATAAAGCATGACATTTATTTATCTTTGCTTCTAATTTTTCTTCGAATTTTCTTAAAAGCTTATATACTGCCATGCATCTTTCTTGCCTATCCATTCCATACAAGAAAGAAATCTCCTTTTTATTCCAAATTGTCAGTAGAAAGTCGTAGAAACCTTATACACGTTTTTGTACTAGTTAACAGCAAGACCGCTGTTTCACAGAACACCCTTTGAAATCAAAAGCAAGATACCTGTACATATGTAATTTCCAACACGATTTTGTTGTACAGTACATGTTCTATTGTATAAACCTATCCTTGTCTATACCGTATGTTTAATAATATTGATATATTTTATGTATTAACGATATATTTAATTTGTAAATTATTTTAGGTTCTGTAGACGAGATTTAACTCAGCCTTAGTTAAACTCGATATTACATCTTTGTGCTTATGTGCGCGATTTTATGCTCAAACCATCTTCAGGAGTTGCCAAATGCTTATTTGAATTGTGTTTCGTAAACTGTAAAGGACACTAAGTCTTACTGTATTTTTACTTTAATGGTGTCTATTATTTTGAATTTTCAAAAACCCTAAGGTATTGTAGCAGTGAAAATTAAATTTATTGTTTTGAGAACAAAAGTTCTAGTCCTTGTTATCTATATACAGTTTATTTGGAAACATTTGTTAGAAAGTTGAAGAGAATTCTCTGTGGAGTACACGGAAAGGTGGCGAACATGTTGAGTCGTGTCGTCATTGACATTTTGAGAATCACTTAGTCATGGTAATTTACTGTTGCTTTTTATACCTATTAAAATAAGAAACTTTCATGTGTGTTTTTTTCCTACCTACTTACAGTTATAATGTTTCGTGTGTCTGTTTTTAGAAGGGAAATTTGTAATTTTATTTATAGGTTTTGCTTTGTAAGAGTTCCAGCTTTCATGATTTAGTGACTGGGAGTTCAAAACCCTCTTTGATTGAGTGAACTTTCAAAGGTCACTTAAAGAATTTCAATGACAATCCCGTTTGACAAGGTTCTGGAACCTCCACTTATTTGGTGAGTTAAGAGATCAGTTGACAATAGTAAGAGTTATAAAATAAATTGCAAGGAAAAAGATTAGGCCATACTTATACAAATGTAAATTATTCCATTAATGAAGTTGAAAGATTGATTGGGCAACCTTTCAATTGTTAGGCAAGCACTCATCTACCCAGCCATCTAGGTGACTGTGAAGAAAAAGATTACTAAGGATGTTTTTTATTCAAAGTATTTTGGATATAGTATATCAAACTCTTATAATGAAATTGAAGCTTTATTCAAGTCCTGCCATACGGTGCATAAAAAAAGAGTAAAATAGCCTACATAACATAAGAATGGACAGCAGAACGAGTATTATCATTGACAATAAATCTCTCAGGTTACTTGCATATAAAATCTCTCAACTTTTATAAATAAAATTAAACATAACTTCTGTTTTACAGTTTATTTATTTCTATATCAACAACAAAAGTAATTTTATACAATTGAGATGTCACAAGTTAGACAGCATTAACACCTATCTACTCAAACTGCCTTGCTCCATCCCTCATATACAGAGAAGTGTGACAGTTTTTATCATAATAGTTTTGTAATTATAATAAAGAAGTGGGAGTAGTGATTCAATTACTAAGGCCCGGTTTCCCCAACTCATTTAAACTTAGTTTTAAGTTAAACGGTGATTTAAACTTAGTATAACTTTGATTTCTGTTTCCCCAAATTTAAACTGGGTATTAATCTAAGTTCAAACTAAACCACCTCCTGACTTGGTTTAACTACTGGGGATAAAATAAACTGAGTTCAAATTAGTAAATTACAACAGTAACATAACCTCAAATCAAAACAAAAAGTAGGTGTTAAAACAATAATAATTGAAGCAACTACGAATTCATTTGGACGAAATTAGGCTTGGTTTAGGGGTAGCTTTAAGTTAAGTTTTATTTATATTTGAATTTATTGTTTATTAAGTTCTTTTTTTTGTAAATTAGATTTTATTTCAAGTTAGGCTACTATTAATTAATTGCAGTAACTTATTTACCCCCTCAAACGGAAGAGTTAATACACATTTCCGAAGAAGTAGAAGATGAAGATTATGACACTTTAGTACCTAGAACAAGAGGGCCTACTAAAATAAGGGACAGAATTGACCATTTCAATATATGGAATGAATCTGAATTTGACAACAACTTATAATAACTTGATAACATAACCTTAAACAGTGATGTTATTCTAGCTGCATTCGCACATTGCTGTCTGCTCTACTGAGTTGTAGCGTAGCGCTTTGGTGGTTATAGGAAACACTAGCCCAAAGCCCACCGAAAATTCCTTACAAATACACATTCAGGATTGCCAACCGCTCGAATTGCCGTTTATCTTAAACGAAGCCAGTAAAATGTTGGAGAAACCGAACACACATTTTAAACGGAGTTTAAAAATAAACTAGTTTATTATAAACATAGTTTACACCATTTTGGGGAAACCGGGTCTAATAGTAGTTAAAAACTTAACATTTCTATCATTCAGGTGTTTAGTAAAGACCTAAGAATTTATTTTTGTGACGAAGAAGTTCTGAGGATGTTTCTAGAAGTACTGTAGTGACAGTAGAGGAGTTACAAGCTTGTGCAGATATTTTTTATAATTTATAATGCTTGGTAAAAAATGAGAATGAAATAAGCATAGTCTAGAAGATACTGTTTTTTTACACTTTCACAAAATCATCCTTCAAGGTGCGTTTGGCAGAGTTTGTGAGCAATCAGGTGAGGTTGGGTGTGTTAATATTAGCCTTTTTACTCTATTTTAGTAGTATTTTTGCTACTCTCACAATAAAGGCTATTTTTTTATAATGCTCGGTAACTAGGCTTTGGTAGTAGGTATTCAAACAAATTGAGTTAGCAAGAGCCTACTCTCTTTTTAAGATTTGGGACTTGCTGACCAGATCCATTGACATTTTTTTTCACAATTTACAGCAATAAAATGTTAGATTAAAAAACTTGATGGTCATCAAATAAAAAAAATATTTTAACTAAAAAAACCATAACTGCCTTATTCTGATTTAAAGGCAAGTTGTGTTTGTAGCTGATGATTTAATTGTTGGAACACCTCAATCATAGAAGCACGTGTTTCTGCCATCAGTCGAGGAATATCAGCAATCGTGAGGCCTTCTGTGCTGACTGGAGGCAGGACTGTGACCAGAATGCGACCTGTGACAAATGGAAACTTTAAATTCAGAAAAAATAGAGGTGTTGCAGCCTAGGGCAGGTTTTTTATGGCTATTTCTTTTAAAATAAAATCTAGTTTCAAAATATGAGTGGTTTAGTTACAGTTGAATGATTGGTAAGGCTTGTTCCCAATAGCTTTAAGAGTAGATATATCTCTTTTGGGCCCCCTGAACCCAAAAAAGTTGTTTTTGAAGGGATGTTTGTGTGGATGTGTACGGACTGTTTACTGTGATATTCGACTTAAATTTATGAGAGCATTGTATTTAGACACGTGATCACTGGTCTCAAATCTTTCCCACAAGAACAGTCGTTTCAGTACTGCCCACTTCCTGCCGATCTAGTCCGGTTAAATCAATGTGCTGATAAAAATTGTCCGGTTAAAGAGATGTCATTTCCGCCGAGTGTAGTCTGGTTAAACCGATGTCCAAGTAAAAGGTGTCCGGATAAGAGGGAGTCTACTATAGCTGATTCTGATATAAATCTTTCATCTTATTCTCTTACACTCCTCCTTCAGTAGCTTAGCCTTAACCCTTTCTGGACGGCCTATAATTTGTATACAAACAGTTAAGTTAATAAAAAAATGTATCTTTTTTCATCTGCAATTTGTTAGAATGTTTGTAAATAGTTTACCTATGCAATACTTTTGTAAGTTATAAATGCGTTATATTTTGTAAAATTTTTATATTCTTCTAGAAAAAAATGTATTACATCGGTTAAAGATATAATTGAATAAAAGACTGTTTTTGCGAAGATTAATATTGTTATATATAATCAACTATAACAGTTGTATCCGCTATGCACAAAATGATAGCGGACATATCCCCCTATCGGCCTATAGTCCGGGAAGGGTAACATATGTATATACATATACATATACATATGTATATACATGTGTATATGTAACATTGCATTTTGACATCCAATCATACAATACAAACCTATGTCGAGAGTCTTATTGCTGCCTTTCTGTGTGAAGTAGAACCGTGAGAAAACAATGGGTAGAAGGGGAATCTGGCCATTAACTGCGGCATGGAAAGCTCCTTTCTTAAATTCATGAATTTCCCCGGTATTCTTGCGTGTTCCTTCGGGGAAAACCCACAATTTCACCTAAGGGGGAAAAACATAGTAATTATAGTCACAATGAATATGACATGGAAGGCTTAAAACTAAATAATGTCTAGGGGAAGGAAGTTCCCCCACTCGGAATCATCTTATCTAGGCTGCAGGTCTACTACCTTTGTACAATAAGAGATGTATAACTTTCCGTAATAGGTATGGACATTTAAATTTTGCATTTATCCAAAACTATATTTATAACTCAAACTACATCTTTGAATTTATCACAAAACTACTTTCCTGGTGCTGTCTTTAGTTTTGTGTTATAATTCACAGTACTGTTTATGTAAGATACTCTTACATTTGAGTTTTGAGAGTTGATGTAATGTTTTGAGTGGTCAACTACTTGATGTTTACCACTGGAATGATTTCTAAAATTATTAAAACAACGTACTACGTGAAATAAATGTTACCCTTACAGATAATGTCAACTAAACATTATAAGGAATAGACTTGGATTAGATAAATAAATATAAAAAATGGAGAGGACACAGCTAACTCACCACTAAACTCACCACAGAACACATAAAAACACACACATAAAAAATACTTGATATTTCTTTAGAAGCCCCTCTGAAAGAGGCGAAATATCAAGTATTTTTTATGTGTGTGTTTTTATGTGTTCTTTGACTCGTCTGCAACCTTTCATCTGGTGAGTTAGCTGTGTCTTCTTCATTATATATATTTATCTAATCCAAGCTAAATGCTTTTTCCTAAAAACATTACCTTAAAATGAATAGACTTGATGGTAACGTGAGTAACAACAAAACTTTATTTATACATTTCAAACAATTCAACATATGACTATGATTTTCAATCAAATATAAATGTTTAAAAAATAAAATGAAAGCTCAATAGAGCAATGGGGGAATTGCTGCACCATCTTCAAATTGAATACTACGAATTTTTCGTCTAGTTCCCCGTAGCCTAAGCGAAACCGCTCGAATGATGGAAAGCTGGCTTTGGATCCTCAACCATCCGATAATTTGGGAGTATGGTTTTCTCCATTTTAAAGCCAGGGCTTCGCTTGTTCTCCTCTGAAACGCTTCATATTCTTTGTGGGGGACTCCTTCCGTGGAACATATTAATGGTGTGTTTAGTAAAAACTGTTTAATGTCCAGTGCTAAAGATATTTTATAACACAAGCTACTAGCTACAGTAGACCAAACCAGAAGTCAAGGCAGGGCCGGTTTAACCCATACGCAAACTAATCGGTCGCATATGGCGCCACAAAAAAGTGGCGCAAACGGGACCCATTTTTTTTAGAAGACAAAATTGGAAACAACTTTACTGACAAGTGAACAACTTTTTTTTTTTCGCTCATAGTTCAAGTATCCAAAGTACCACAACAAAGGCATTTATTCTGTTTGTACCAACAGCACTTGAATACTTGTACAGCACTTCAACTCAAGGAATCAGGGCATTGGTTTGCAGTTTCGATTTGTAGTGAGCTGACACTCGGCAGCACACAGCGCGGCGCCTGTGGATTTCATTTCATGACTCATGCTAGAGATAAGCGCGCAGCCCTGCAGCACCACTTGTCACAACGAGAAACTTCCCCCTCCCTTCTTCCCCTGATCACTCTCCCCTCCTAGAGCAGATCAAAGCTAGGAGAGTTAATTTTTAACTGGTTAATTCCTCTCTTGTCATCTACCTACACCTGTTTTTCATAGGCTTTATAAAAATATTTTATCCAAGTTATCCTGTAAAAATTGATTTCACATTTAGAAATAAATTGTTAACTTTGGGTTTTGCTAAAGTGTTGGATGAGTAAAAGTGTAAAAATGTGAAATTTCTATGAATAATAAACAGTAGTTGAAAAAAGTCTTTTATTGCAAGTATTCTTCTAACCTAAAAGTTCTTCCCAAAAAATTTCACAAATCGGGTTAAGTTAAGTTTATGGTGGGTGGGGGGGGGGGAATTCTAGGTGGTGCTGATTCGGGTGTTTGCTTAACTCTGAAAAATTCCTAGAACCGGCCCTGAGTAAAGGAATTGTGTACAGCAGAACCCCTCATATCCGACTCCTCGGGATATCCAACCTAGTAGTGTCTGACAGTCTACTTGTTTCCTGTCTGGGGCGATAACGTGGCAGACGATCACTGGTGTTGCAGGAGACTATTACTGAAGTTGCGGAGACTGCAAGCTTTGCTCAAAGGGTGTTGCCATCATCGCAGGAGACAATTACCGAAGTCTTTGAGACTGCAGGTTATGCTCCTCCCGATATCCGACCTTTTGGCCGTTCCAACCATGGCCCTGTCCCATCATGGTCGGATATGAGGGGTTCTACTGTATGTTTGGGGCTCTAATAATATGATCAAGTTAATTATTAGCAATGAATCTATTAGGGTATTTAATAATAATTTGAGTTGTGAACTTCAACATAATCCCAGAGTTAAAATAATAGCCTACATGATTACTAAAAAAAGAACAGGAGATAAACAAATGCTGTGTTATAAACAGGCTTTTTAAAGGGTTGAAACTAAGTTTAAACTAGATTTTGTCTAGCAATAAAAACTACTTAAAATTAGAGATTATTGAATGGAACAATTGTTATACCTACCCAAAACTACACCAAAGGCATCCAACTAAAGGTGGCATAAAGGGTTTCTGAAAACAAAAGGGTGCTTAAAATAAACAATGTAAAGAAATAATACGCTAAATAAAATAAAAAGATCAAAAAAAGATTTAAAACAACAAATTTTGTAAACACAATAGAAAAATTCAAATTTAATATTCAAATTGAAGTTTTATATAAATAAGTGTAGATCGATGGTAAAAAAGTTAGAAATGTCACAGGAGATAAAATGTACGGTATAAAATAACAAGTTGTTTGAATAATACCGATTTTGCATTAGACTTTGTGAAGAAAGCCCAAACCAATTAATTATGATCATGTAAAGAAATGTCCCTGCTACACCTAGGAGGATTAAACATTAAGATGAGGACACGCTGTAGTTTCGTTGAAGCCACGCCGTACTGGGATACTTATATTGTGTATTATTTTTTAATACTATCCATAACTCAAAATTTAAATCATGAGCAGTACTGTATGTGTATTTGAAAATTTTTCTGAAATAGAAATAAATAAGTTTTAATCCTTTAAAAGAATGATAAACACACTTTGGCGTCAGAAGACGCGATGATTACTGAACGTTTAAACTTTTTACTCCAAATTTCTTCGGGCAAACAGATCAAATTTAGCTCAATATGATCAAGAATTTTATTGCCAAGAAATTGTTTTACTTTTTATGTTCGTGATTTAATTGTAACGGCTGTTAGCGTAAAAAAAGAGAGCACGGCTTAGAATTTTTTCTTAACTTTGGCTATTTAAAATCACCTGCCTAGCCCATAAATGCATTAAAACTAGTAAAAAATGTTTTTATAAATCGAGAAAACTATGAAAAATGCAAATTTTAAATGTATTTCACCACCCAAATTATTTTTTTCATTTTAACCTATATTTAATCAAAATTGTTTTATAAACTAGAAAAATAAAAAAGAATTTTATTGTAATTATTTTCTAAATACTACTTTTAAATATAGGTAAATTTATATTTTTTATTTCGAGAAACTCCTAAGGAACACGAATAACTTGTTAACTTGTATAGATGCATCATATTTCTTTCAAAAACGTAATTAAAGTAATCATATGTTTAAAGTCCGGGACAATTCTTTCAACTTCGATCTTCAATAACAAATAATAAATTTTTATTGAAATTATTGACACCATTCGATAGGAAATTTAATTTACTTTAAGAATGCCATCGCTGAATAACACAGGTGTTTTAGTTTAGCGGCAATTTTAATTTGAAACAGCGCGTGTCACGTTTTTCCCTATCTCCCCCTTGTTATAGCCGTGGCTTTTTGCCACTCTACGGCTCCGCGTGCCCCACTAGTGTTCTGCTAATGCTGGCTTCACCACAACATGTGTATTCCTATTCGCGTGCCCTCTCCTTAATGTTAAATCCTCCTAGTGCTACACAGATCCCCATTTTTATTTAATTTTAGGCATTTAGGAATCCAGGACAAGTGAACAAAAATTAATAAGTTATTTCTGTTTTTCGTGTTGTTATTCAGTCATTCTATGCCTTGATCTACTAGTGATTTAATTTTTTTTGTACTTAATAGTAAATAATTTTTAATCCTTATTTGAAATTATTGTTCCTCTGTCTGCAGTTTATACAGTTCAAAATGATTAAACCATTCAAATATAATTCCTTAAATTTTGCAAGTCTTCACAATAGTTATAGTTGGTTAGCTTTTTGGATAGCATTTTACATGTTGGCGCTATTATAAGAATGTATGATAATTATAATATATGTCATCCAACTCAATCCAACCGATATAGTTACACTTACACTGTAAACATTTGCAAGATGGTAAATGCATGGCTATGGATTTTGATTTGTCACACCGGTCATTATTAGGTAGGAGACTCTCAGTTTTATATTTTATTTTATTAGGCCTAATTTATAAAACAATTTTAAGAACAACAAGAGTACGGTATATTACAACAAATTAAGAAATAAGAAATGAACAAAAAAACTAAAAAGGAAGTGTAGTACTTATAAGTTATCCAAATTTAAAACCAAACTGTTAAAAGTATTATGGTCTTATCTGACTTAATTTACCTTGTCTCTTTTTAGTTGCTTGATGGAATCGTTTATGGCTTGTCTTGAGGTGTCTGAATTCAGTCGATCGATGAATATAAGGCCACATAACCAAGCTGCTAGCCCAAATGGCCAGGCGTACAACAACTCTTTCTTGGCTACGATTGTGCATTTCCGCATAATTGGAACCAATTCGATGAGGCCTATAAAAATAACAGTTTAAACAGCAAAAGTTGGTACAGACTTTAAAACTTTTGTAGTGCTGTTAGCTAATAGGCCTAGTTTAGTAATAAATGTAAGGTGTTAATTCCGAGGGGGGGGTAAAACTACACCTTATATGCCTCGGAACTGCTACCAGTCAGGTGTGTCCAGGGTTCAAGTTAAATTATTAATTGGCTGGGCTCAGACCATAGGATGTTATCATTTATTCAGTAAATCATTGGTCATCATCATTGCCCAAATTAAAGCCCATTAATCCCTGATCGTGTTTTTATCATCATTTATTTATGTTAAGTTAAAAAGGATAATCAAACGTCACAAAAGGAAAGAACCATAGGTTAGCCGTGAACCAACACTACCGCTAGTGCGTTACCTACGCTCACCAAAATAAAATTACTTCTAAAAAGCTTACTTCACCTTTTAACCCTCCGAGTGTTAAGCGTCACATAATCGACGCATAACACGGTTGCCGTGGTGTTATGTGTCGCTTTTGCGACACACAAACATCGTTTACGGCAAAGGCTCTCTGGGACTGACTGAATCAGATTGAACTGAATCGAGATTGGTATCGTTGTTTTCAGCAGATTCTAAGCTTTCTCCTGATGTCTGAAGTTATAGACGCTTTTCATTTTAGTTCCGAATATATTGTAGCAGACAGACAGATGACGTGCGTATTTGTAAACAGCTTGGTTAACCTCGCACCGATGACTGATGTGTTTTAATATCGTTGTTTTAGTGTTAAACATCAAATGTTGTGATATACGTGGTGCATTACAAGAAGATTTAAGTGGTTTTGAAGGGCTGGTTGATGATCCTGAAGAAGTTGGTAGTGATATTGATGTAAATTATCCGCCAGATTCCTAGCTATGGTTAGGCTATGCATTCTTAGCTAACGCTAAATCTGTTTTTCACCCATAACTTATTTATTTGCAAACCTACTTCCTTATATTATTATATTTTTGGAATCCTCATAAAATTTAGAACAAAGTAGCTATTTAAAAAAAATTTGAAGACCTAAAATTATAAAAAGTTATTGAGCGCAAACATAAATTTGTTTCATTTATTTTATAATTTTTGAGAAATGTTAACCCCACAAAAATGTTTGAAAATATTTTTGGTAACGTTTTATATATTACATTGAAGTCCATAATTTTCCAAACAAAATGTTATATAAAACAGTATAGCCTACTTTAGAGTGTTTTTAAGTTTCTAAGATACATTTTAATAAAGCCCTGCGATTGTGCAATAAATGGGCCGACATTAATACCATTACTATGGACACTTGGAGGGTTAATAAAAACCAATAAAATCAAAAATAAGAATAACTAACGAAAATTATTGTCACGACTAACAATTACGTCCTAGGTTCCCTGAGTTGTTTCACCCGGGTGTGACATGGGGAATATCTCAGGTTTAAATCAATTTTAAGTGAATTAATCTAAATAGATGGGTATTAATTAATAGACCACACGACGGGACGGATCACGACAAGGCTGTTCCGCCCGTCACCTAATAAGAATTTAAATTGGTAACAAGTGAAGTAATATAAACAGAGCTTTTTCGCCTGCCACCTAGTAATTCAGTTTAACAAAATAAAATACGTTCCGTAACAACTATAATGTATGGTTATGAATGACCAGTATAGAGCTGAGCTACTATCGGTTACGATGGACGTGAGCTGTTTTGTCCGTCCCCTAACAATCAAATTTTAATAACAAAACTAAATAGAATACGTTCTTTAACAACTATAACTTATGGTTGTTAATGACAAGTGTAGAGCTAAGCTACTATCGATGGACATGAGCTGACGACGATACCTTTACTATACTATTCTGTGGGTTAGACCAACGCGGGTTCCTGCCTTAGATTAGAGGGAGTAGAGAAGAGAAGTGACCAGCCACACGCCGGCCTATCGAGTGCCGGTTGATCCTAGGTCCTGGAGAACTCTCGCCCTACCCCTACCACTACGTCCTTAACCCTCCGAGCGTCCATCGTCGAAAAATCGACTCGCTACACACTTTGTGTAGTGTCACGCGTCGATTTTTCGACGCACGAACATCGTTTACGGCGAAGGCTCTATGACTGACTGAATCGTATTGAACTGGATCGAGTTAGGTATCATTCTTTCCGTTATATTCTAAGCTTTCTCCAAAGGTCTGTCTCAGCGCTGTATGTTCTCCGAGCCGATCGTAATTGTAGCAGACAGCTGACGTGCGTATTCGTAAACAGCTTGGTTATCCTCGGACCGATGACTGATGTGTTTTATTACGTTTATCATTGTTTTAGTGTTAAAAATCAAAAGTAGTGATATACGTGGTGCATTATAAGAAGATTTAAGTGATTTTGAAGGGCTGGTTGATGATCCTGAAGAAGTAGGTAGTGATATTGATGTAAATTATCAGCCAGATTCCTAGCTATGGTTAGGCTATGCATTCCTAGCTAAACGCTATGTACTGAAATCCGTTTTTCACTCATAACTTATTTATTTGATAACTTACCTCACTATATGATTATATATTATTTGTAATCCTCATTAAATTTAGAACAAAGTGGCTATTTTCAAATATTTATAGGCCTATAATTTATACAATTTCATTGAGCGCAAACTAATTTTTTTTTTCAATTTTTCCAAAATAATTTTTTTTTTACCTAAAAAATTTTTTTGAAACAAATATTCCTTATGTTTTATGTATGATATTGAAGCCCATGATTTTCCAAACAAAATGGTATATAGAACATTAGAATTAACATTGTTTTAAGCTTCTCAGATCCGTTTTAATAAAACCTTGCAAATGCGCCAAAATTAGGTGGACATTAAGGCCTAAACTATGGACACTTGGAGGGTTAAGACGCTACTAGTGCGGCGGGTGGACACTGCCGGTAACATTTCCCGCTCTGATTTAAAATTTAATCTAGGTCCAATTTGGGACCTTACAGTTACTGTTACTTGATATAATTTTTTTTCTAGCTTAAAATTTTAAGAAACTATTTGCATGTTTTTCAAATTATTTGTGTCGCTAGAATAAAACTTACCGAGCACATCAAGAGAGCTCTGATGGTTGGCCACGATGACACATGCTTCGTCTTTCTCTAGGTATTCCTTCCCAGTGACTTCCCAATGCAACCCCAACACCCTAGATATGTGTCTGCAGATCCTTGAAGCAAGCCTAAAATAATGCGGTAAAATTGTTAACTTATATTTTATACTCACTAGAACGTCTGTTATCAAGTATGTTTTCTAAGTACTGTAGGCCTAGGCCTAACTTATCATGAGTTTTCTACAATTATTTTATCTTTCCTAATAATTATCTCAAAAATTGCACTGGTTAAAAATATTAGGAAACAAATACCATATTACTACACTGATGGTGAATGCACAAGTCCCACGTTCCAAATCGGGATTCTCGAAGTATGAAATTGTACATTCATCCCAGGGTGACCGAATCCATTCTCTTCACGTCTTCTATTACTGGAGGATCAGAGGATGTAGGGTACCGTACCAAATTTTATGATTTATCTGTTATCATTCAGAACATATTAAACCTGTGCGGGACTTCATGTATAACTTTTAATCTAGGTATGTGTGATGTCTGGAAACGCTCGAGTAAGTTATGCTAAGTTAATCTAGCCTATGATCAACGTATTATAACTATAAGTTAATAAATGGCTTTATTTCTTTGGGATAAATTTTACAGTGTATTTCTCTGTAGTCATATTAGTTAAACACAAGTAACTTAGGCGCCTAGGGGTTTCAAATACATTGTACAGTTTATTAAGTTAAATTACAACCTTTTAGTTATAACCTACTCTTCTAACTTAGACATGTAAAATGTAAAATGTTGCGAAATAGGCCTAGGCCTAAATAACTTATTTGCTGTGGTTGTGATTTAAACTGGATATGAAGATACATCTCCAAAAATACATAGCCTATTATAGCCCACGCTCTAAGGGTAAAAAATGCATTAACTAAGGCTATCATGATAGAATAAGTCTACAATAATTTCTTAATTGACATCAATTCACCTTCGCCAGAGACTCATGTTAAACTAAGAATAAGTTAATAAGACAATAAAAAAAATGATTTATTATTTAAATTAGGCTATGATACCTTTTTGAGGGACTCCCTATTTTGTTGACCTGGGTCAACAAATTCAATACATTTAACCCTCCGAGTGTCACGTGTTTTGGCCTTAATGTCAGCCTATTTTTTGCTCATTTGCAAGGTTTTATTAAAACTGATCTGAGAAGCTTAAAAACAATGTTAATTATACTGTTCTATATACCATTTTGTTTGGAAAATCTTGGGCTTCAATATTATATATAAAACATAAGGAAGATTTTTTTAAAAAAATTTTTTTAGGTAAAAAAAAATGTATAATTTCGAAAATTAAAAAAAAAAAATAAGTTTGCGCTCAATGAAATTGTATAAATTATAGGCCTATAAATATTTGAAAATAGCCACTTTGTTCTAAATTTTATGAGGATTACAAATATATAATAATATAAGGAAGTAGATTTGCAAATAAATAAGTTATGGGCCAAAAACAGATTTCAGTACATAGCGTTTAGCTAAGAATGCATAGCCCAACCATAGCTAGGAATCTGGCTGATAATTTACATCAATATCACTACCTACTTCTTCAGGATCATCAACCAGCACTTCAAAACCACTTAAATCTTCTTATAATGCACCACGTATATCACTACTTTTGATTTTTAACACTAAAACAATGATAAATGTAATAAAACACATCAGTCATCGGTCCGAGGGTAACCTAGCTGTTTACAAATACACGCACGTCAGCTCAGTCAGCTGTCTGCTACAATATTTTCGGAACTAAAATGAATAGTGCTTAGAGACAGACCTCTGGAGAAAGCTTAGAATATTACGGAAAGAACGATACCTAACTCAATCCAGTACAGTCCGATTCAGTTAGTCATAGAGCCTTCGCCGTAAACAGTGTTCGCGAGTCGCTGTAGCGACGCACGACACTATACAAAGTGCGTTACGCGTCGCTGCAGCGACGCATGACACTCGGAGGGTTAAGTAGCAAATTAACTAAGTTTACTTAGAATTTAAATATTTACATGAAACTTGGAATGAAGGTGTATTGACTTGTATTCTACAAGTTATGTAGCCTATGTAAAGTTTGGTAAGTTAACAATTAAAAAGTATTTACCTATTTTATTAACAAAAACCCACCGTAAATAACTAAATTTATTTTGTTGACCCAGGTCAATCGCCAAAAACAGGTAGAGTAGGCCTACATAGAATTAAGGTAGGTAGCCTATAAACTTATACATGACACTTGGAACGAATGTTTTAGCAACATATCATCATGATCAACGATCTCGACAACCTTGGCACTACCCTCATGTTTGCAGACGACACTTCTCTCCTGTCAGCTGGTACGAACATCGATCAAGCTTTGGCCATCTCCAGACAGCGTCTTGAAGATACAACTGCCTGGTTTCTGGCAAACCGCTTCCAACTAAACGAGGATAAGACGCAGCACATCATCTGCAGCCTCTCCAGAGATCAGCCTGGTGTTCAAGATCCAGTTAAATTGCTTGGATTTGTTCTTGATGGGAAGTTCAGCTGGATACATCACATTGACCAGACCACCAACAGACTCTCACGGATCTGTTTCCGCCTCTTCAAGCTGAAATTTTGTGTAACGGAGGCATATTTGGTGATGGTGTACCATGCCCTCTTTCACTGCCATGTCAGCTATGGTCTTCTTCTCTGGGGACACTCGCCAAAGGTTGTTGAAGTGCTTAGGCTCCAGAAGCGTGCATTAAGGATTATTACTGGGAGTGAGTATCGTGCTCATTGCAAACCCCTCTTTGCACGACTTGGTGTGCTTACTGTAGTTGGCCACTACATACTTCTCTGTCTGGTGCACGTTAGGGCTAATATAACAACCTTCACCACTCGTGTTGACGTCCACCAGTATAACACCAGGCAGCGCCATCAGCTTGATGTACCAAGGGTGCGACTATCTAGGACCCAGGCTAGTTATAGTGTGTCAGCCATAAGTCTGTTCAATAAGCTGCCACGACATATCCAGTTGTTGGACTTAAAAACATTTGAGGCAGTGTTAACCACTTTCATCAAGAGCCGGGCCTATTACGATATTTCAGAGTATTTAGGGGACGATTTAAGAAGCCTGTAGCCTGCCGGAAGTATGTAAATAGTTGTAAATATTGTTTTTTGTATTAGTAACCGTGTTAAAGTGACGCTGTCAATCCCACATTGTGGGTAAAAGACGAAGAAGGAGGTATTAAGGTATTAAGGTATAGGCTACCTACCTTATTATACACGTATATGTAAAATTTGGTAACAATTAAAAAATATTTAAGTACCGGTACTTAAGTACGGTAGGCCCTAAGTAATTTATTATCAAAAAACTGCCGTAAGAGCCTAGCTTATTTTATTTTGTTGTCCCGGGTCAACAAATTCAATAGGCCCTAAGTTACATTTAAACTTAGCAAAATAACCAAACTTAAGCTAGAATGTAGATATTTTCATGATACTTGAAACGAATGTAGGATACCTTTAACAACATTTATTCTAAACATACCTAGGCCTAACTTATGTAAAATTACATACTTCTCTGGGGCCATGCTTCAGGGTGTGATGAAGTGGTCAGACTACAAAAATCTGCCTTGAGAGCCATAACATCTAGCGCTCCTTTGGAACACTGTAAGCCAATCTTTAGACGGCTAAAGGTGCATACTGTTATTGGTCAGTATATATTCTCCTCCCTTGTACACGTCAGGTCGAACGTTGAGCTACTAAAGACCAGAGATGTTCACAGCTATTTATAATACACGTAGCAGAAGCAAAATTGACATCCCTAGATCCCGCCTCACGGGAACACCAACACAGCGCCGTTTTCCTGCTTTTTCTTGGAAGTTGTTCAACAAGCTCCCCCCAGAGATCAGCAGTCTTTCAGAAAAAAAGTTTGCCAGGGTTGTACGAGATAGGCTTCTTCAAGGAGCATACTAACTTACTCCGTGAGAGAGTATTTTGATGACAAATGGTAGAGTGCACAATCACCTCCGTAGTCACCCGCCAAGTTTTTATTTTTATTTTTGAAACTTTAAAATTTATTTTCTTGAAAGATACAAGTTCTATTTTGTTGTAAATAAGTTAATTAATATTTATATTTAAAAAAAATTACGCAGTTTATCCAGCTATGCTGGTCAACAACGCAGCTTTGGTAATAAGGTAATTTAATAATGATTAAAAAATATTTACCTATTTTATTAACAAGAAAACCGCCATAAATAAGTAGCTAATTTTATTTTGTTGACCCCACTTATACATTAACAAACTTTACATACGTATAGAATACACATTAAAATACCTTCGTTCCAATTTTCATTTAAATAGGCCTAGGCCCTATCTACATTCTAAGTGTAGGCTAGTTAATTTGCTAAATGTATTAAATTTGTTGCCCTGGGTCAACAAAATAGGGAGTCCCCATTTTTGATGAACTAGAATCATCCTACTATAAGTACTTACATGAGATTATGAACATCCCTGCTCCTCCACAACATGATTGGAATGACTGCTAATGAAGTTAACATAATAAAAGAATAGTAAATAAAGAACTTAAAATAGTATCTAAAAGATTTACTTTTTTCATAAATAAATGGTATGATTAAAAATGAACAAATTGTCAAGCATTCTGCCATAGAAGTCATTTTGCAAAATGATAATATAGGCCTAGCTAGGGTTAGCTAGGGTAGTTTAGTTTCAGACAAATCCAGATGAGAAACGGGATTAGCCTGTTTTATTGTTCTTCAAAGCAATAGATTGTACACTAGGCCTACTGACCTACACAATTTAAACTCAAGGTTAGCACAGTATGCATTGCAGTTCAGAAATCTCACAAAAGTCACCGAATTCTAGTTCAATAAATAAAGTGTGCAAAATTATTTCAGAAAAATGTTTACTCTAACTTGTTTAATACTTGGGTAAAAATAACTGTCACAGTCACACTTCAGTGTCAGGTCGGCCTTCGGGTAGGTAAACAGTCAATCAATGCCTGGCTAAAGCCATTGACTAATAGGATACTGAAGTTGTATCCATCTCCATCTTTAGTAAAAGCATAGACAAAAAGAATTAAATATTTCATTCTTTTTGTCTATGGTAAAAGGTAAAAGCTTCGGAATCGGAAGACAACATTGACTTTTGCTTGATTTGGAAGACAAGTAAGTATCTTTGCTTTTGCTCGTCTCGTGGTCTCGTCTGCTGAGCTGACAGCGACTAGCGACAGCTGGAAAGCAGATGTGTTTCCTTTTCACTTGCCTCCAAAAAACAGTGGAGGCAGCCAGGCAGCCGATGGACTTCAAATACTTATATGGTGTATACATACAATACTGCGGACCGGACAGTCGACAGTCATATGTATGGTGTCCAGATATACATGGGAGCCCCACATGAAATGTAAACTGAACTGAATGCAGCCAATTTACATACTTTTGCCTTTTAGACGTGACATGCGCCTTAAAACTTAGGCTACTCTTATTTTAGTTTTGGGGCCTGTTTCATAATAAACTACAAGTTGTAGCATAGATTAAACATACTCCTCAAGTAGATAAGTCACATATATGGGGCCGTTGAGTCGAGCTCGATTCCCCGGCCAAGTTGATGGCGAGGTAGTTCGTGTTAGACCCGCCGCAGCGCCACTGGTGCCATTTTGGCGCGGCATTAGTCCAGAGAACAGCTGTTTGCCGCGGCATTAGTCCAGAGAACAGCTGTTTGCCGCCAGATTAATAAAATGGGGTTTCCTTGCGTACTACTGTACTGTAATGAGTTTTACCGGACACCAATCAGCTGATTATACTGTATTTGGGTGGCATTGAGTAGTTATAAACAAAAACATATTATGACTAGTGATTTTTAGTCCTTTAGTTGGTGGTAATATATCATGATTTGTACAGATTTCGCTACACTACTGCGAAATAAACTGTTTTCGCTACATTTTTATCACCTGCAAAAATGTTACAATTACTTATTACATTTTTAACTAGTTGTTACCCACGGGCTTCACCCCGTTTCACTTCATAAGTATTAATCAAACTGTCATGTGGTTAAGTTAAGCTGAAATAAACCAAACATAATACAGTAATACAAACAAATAATCACATCTGATTTTATGCCTTTTAGCCTATCTGAAAAGTAGGCGACATGCGTATTTTGTTTCACCACAGTCCATATTACAACTATCACTAAAGATATTTGATATTACTTCTTTGCGACACTCACAAATTAATTCTACTTTCGGTAAAAAATCTACACGAAAAGTCCATTTTTACATATTTTATACAATAACTTGTTTATTTATAGAGATACGACCTCGGACCCAATGACCATTATTGTTGTCCACATTTTTAGGATTACAACGTCGTTTTAACCGATGTTCTATCTTTTACCGTTTTCGAACTATCAGCGTTTTAACGCATAGCGCAAACCGCCATGTTTGCCCCCTCCCCCCCACCTTATCGACCACTTTTGAAATAGGCGACATACGTAATTTTGATCACCACAGTCCATATTACAATAATCAGCAATAACATTGCGTACTACTTTCATGCATGCTCTACCCCCCTCAGCTCCTGGACTATATCGGGAGAATGGTGAATGTCTCAACCTCAACATAGCTTCAAATTCAAGGTCGTCGCACCCACCTCTTCCCCCCCCCCCCTTATACACGACTGTTTGGCCTTGACTCACGGCTGTAGCCCGCGCTGCTTTTGAGTACAGTACTGTAGTTCAATATATTTATTCCTTTTATACAAATGGGTTAATTCGAATTTTTCTATGGTTAGAATTTTTTTGTTGGTCCATTGAGGTTCGAATTATCCATGATACACTATATCATTTTCATTTTTATTTTCCCCGGCAATGCCATTTACAAAATACAATCAGTTAAGATTATAATAAGATTATATAAATACAAAACATTAAATTATAACAAAACAACATTTCATCAGCAATAACATCAATACAATCGATCAACAATAACAGCTATAAACTATATGACATAACAATAACAATGCAGAATGACCATGAATAAAAAAAACAAGGCATAAGAATAATAATAACAATAACAATGATAATAAAATGTATATCATATCATACTAATATTATAAATGTGAAGGTTGTGTGTTTGTTTGAAGTTAATTTTTAATTTCTTTCATAGTACAAATAAATTGTAACCTATCTCTTTAAGGAGTATGTAGTAATTACATGTTAGAACAAGTATGTGAATTTTTGCCACGAAAAAAAAAAACAGAAAACATTTCATCCAATGACGGGCAATATGGTTAATTTAATCATATTTTGTAGATTCGAAAGAAATCCTTCAGTGCGGCTTTTCCGCCAAAACCTGAAGCACCGTATGCAGGCAGCTCTCGTACAGCCACCAGCTGGGGCTAATTGTGAACCAGACAGTGACGAGTTACTAACATCGTTGGTCGAGACTGATGAGCCGCTCAACACATCACCTGACGCTCCAACTGTCGTTGTCAACGAACATCAGACACATAACAACGATCGCGACATCTTCGATACGGACGACGAAGACGATGCCGACTTGGATTCATACAAAACATGTTTGGAATCATGTCCAGTGAGGTAAAATGTTCATAAAATGTAACAATAAAATGACAGGTTTGACAGTAAAATGTCTGCAAATTTGTAATTAAGTTAATTTAATTGCAGATTTAAATTAATGTTGTAGCAAAATAAATTGTCAATTTAAATAAATGTTTTGAGCAAAAGATAAAAAGGATAATCACTTGAAATAAATCAAACATGAATAATAACTTTTCCACAACTGTATGAAGGAACAATTATTGTAATAATTAAGCATTGATAAAGAAAGTAACTACACTTATTAGCGTTGTAATAAGCTATAAAGCTGAGTTATGTAATACAAATCAAACCATTATAAAGCAAATAAAAGTATAAAGGTTTCATATAAAAAGTGAGATTCTCTTAATTACTATTTAATAAATTGTAACATTCTATCAGGTATTTCACCGGCTACGGCGTCAGAGCTACTCTGAAGAAATTTCAATGCACAGACTGCAAAGGGGACCTTCTGAAGCCACTTTCAGATGTAGAAACTTCTGAAGAAGCCCTTATCCAAAACAAGGAATACCTTGCAGAGCGCAACAGTTTGTCATACCCATCTGACAAAACAGTGGATGTGGTGGACATGCTACTCGATATATTGAATGCGACTCTGAAGACTAACATAGACAAAGTAGGCATAACAACGCATGTAATGCTGAGGGCAAAGAGGAGAATATTTAAATTATATCCACAATGGCTTAGCAACAATTCCAATTGTTATGACCACAGAATCTACCTCCTCAAAAAAATTGTTTTGGCAAAAATTAAAAGATCCCTCCAGTCAATGTCAAGGGAGCTGAGACAGCCTGGTGGCAAGTATGGTGGCCACTGGGAGAAAATCATGAAATTAAAAAACAAATAGAGGGACTTCACTACAATTCGTATTTTAGACTGGAAATTCAATATTCATTCTAAAGATAATACTTTATTTATATGTATTAAATTTGTTTACATTCTTAAAATTCTTAATTCTTAAAATTGTTCTTACATTCTTTTGTACATGCGGAGTTTTTTTAGCCGGTAAGAGTCCGGCACTACTCATTGACACGGGTTTTTGAGTGTCCATGAGGATTTCCTCTCCGCCCGAAAAAATTAAAAGGATAAAAAAATCTGCATGTTCATAGAAAATAGTCTGTTGTAGGATAAACATCTCAAATTTCACTTTTATTACATTGCTACCAAACTTAATTTTAGCCCCGTCAGCCTTAAGGCAATAACTTGAACAGAACAAATTGTATACGGCGTGGGTGATACAGTAGAGCATACTTGTGTATATACTTAAAAATTAAATTATGACAGGGTATTGTGTCGAGATATAAATAGGATATTTTATTTCTCGATTCAGGGACAAGATGAAATAATATTGCAGTCGCGTGAGTGCTGGAACGATTTAAAGTGGTACTTGCACACGCTTATCAAGTACACTTATCAAACGCGTCTACCATCGCACTGCCACTAGTGTACTATCAGTAAGTGTACTGCCATCTCGTGACTCGGCTACAGTAAGTGTAGTTTCAGTATCTATCTAGTGTCTGTCTGGATAGTGGCCCGTCGTCGCTCGCCTCGCCAGTCGCTACAGCCTTCCGCTCGCCATCACACTTCTAGTTCCTGAATTGGCCGCGTGGCAGTATTGAACGGCTGCCTAGAACGTACGTTTCAGAGAAATCCACCAGAGACCGCAGCGGTCGCGCCAATTTTCCCGAGCTTCAACGCTTAGCATGGGGGTAATAGATCTACTTGAGGAGTATGTTTAATCTATGGTTGTAGGTAACTCGTAATTTCCATTAGATTTGTATCGTGCAATCAGCTGATTTACTAATAATATTACTTTGTAGAGTAGATTATTATGAAATAGGCCCCTAGTGGCAGCTATAACCTAAATTCTGATTGCAGCCATAAAGATAGCGGGACGTGTATATATATATATATATATATATACACATGTGTGTGTGTGTGTGTGTGTGTGTGTGTGTCCGTTAGCACGATAACTCGTAAAAAATGATCCGATTTTGATGAAATTTGGTATAAACATGTAAACCTACATTTATTTGAACGAGTTTGCCGGTTTGCGAACCAACATGATCGGACTATTGGAATGGGGGTTATATGGGGTAAAAATAGGGTTTTCTCGTTTTGACCCTAAAAACACAAAATTTTACAATTTATTTCCATACCATTTTGAAAAGCTTAAAAACAAATAATTTAGTATATTGAAGCGTTGTTATTGTGCGCCTAATGGTTACAGAGAAATATTGAAAAAAAAAATGAATTTTAAATTCACATATTCTTACGGAGAATAAGTCAACTGTTGTAGTTTGCTATTTTATGAACATATTTTGATCAAATAGGGAAAATACATTCATTTCTTGCTACACTATTAACATGTTATAACAAAAAATACTTTTTTACCCTACTTGTTTCAGCAAACCTAAGTATACTCGTTAAAATAATTCTATGGGGAATAAATGTGATTTTTAAGGAGGCATTTTAGTGTAAATCCAATCACGCGAATGGAAATTCTGTTAGTCTGCAGGTTTGCTGCGGCTGGGTATTTGATAATAATATTGTAACCTGTGGTACCATAGATCTAAAACACAG